AACATCAGAACTGATATCCTGAATTTAATAGAGAAAATAGAAAATAAAGTTGAACTCATACACACATGGAAGAACTTTCTGAACAGGACCCCAGTCGCACAAGCATTGAGAGCAACAATTAGTAAACAGAATCTAATGACACTAAAGATGTTTGTACACCAAGGAACATTACTCAAGTAAAGAGGCAGCCTGCAGAATGCGGAATATCTTTGCCAGCTACGCATCTGACTGAGGGTTAGAGTCTAGGTATACAAAGAACTCAGGAAAGTAAACATCAAGAAAAAGCAATTAAAAATGGGACATGGAACTAAATAGAGAGTTCTCAAAAGATGAAAGAAATACAAATGGTGGGGCTGGAGAGATGGCTCAGTGGTTAAGAGCACTGTCTGCTTTTCCAGAGGACCCAGGTTCAATTCCCAGCACCCAGGACTGTTTGTAATTCCAGTTCCAGAAGACCCAACACCCATGGCAAAACACCAATCAACACACATAATAAAAATAAACTTTAAAAAAGGAATACAAATGGCTGTTTTAGCGTTACTATTGCTATGATAAAACACTATGACCAAAAGCAAACTGGAGGAAAGGGTTTGTTTTGTTTCCACTTCCACTTTGCTGCTCATCACTGGAGAAAGTCGGGGTAGGAACTCAAGCAGGGCAGGAACCTGGAGGGAACTGCTTACTGGCTTGCTTCTGGCTTTCTCAGCCTACTGTCTTGTAGAACCCAGGACCACAGCCCAGGGCTGGCACTACTCAAATGGGCTGGGCCCTTCGCCATTCATCACTACTTAAGAAAATGCCGTACAGCTGGATCTTACGGAGATTTTCTCAACTGAGATTCCCTCCCACTCTGATGACCCTAGCTTGTGTCAAGTTGACATGAATCAGCACAGAGAAGCATTTTTTTTAAAAAAAAATTGCAACATCCTTAACTAAAAGTAAAATGCAAATTAAAACTACTTTGTGATGTCATCATACTGTTGTGGAATAGTCTTTTTGCACACTATGAAGATGTATCTCTGCCATGGCACCTTCTGATGGTTTAATAAAGAGCTGAACAGCCAATAGCTAGGCAGGAGAGAACGGGCGGAACTTTCAGGAGGAGCTAGGAACTCTGGGAAGAAGAGAGATAGGACTTGCCAGTGAGACAGAGCACTATGGATGGACAGTATGGAGGAAAGGCAATGAGGCACGTGGCAGAACACAGGTCAATATAAACGGGTTAATTTAAGTTTATAAGAGCTAGTTGGGAACAAGTCTAAGCTAAGGCCAAGTTCTCATAGTGAATAAGGCTCTGTGTCATTTTACCTTAGTCAGAATGGCTAAGATTAAAAAACCAACAAAACCACCAAAGACAAATGCCAGCATGGATGTGGGGAAAGGAGACACTCACTGCTGCTGAGAGTGCAAACTGGTGCAGTCACTGTGGAAATCAGTGCAAGGACTCCTCAAAAAACTGAGTGACCACACACTCCAGCTGTGCCAGCCTTGACCATATGGCCAATGGACTATATCTCCTACCATAAAGATATTTACTCATCCATGGTCATTGTCGCTATGTGTGAGAGACCAAGAGACCCCCAGGCCAGACAGACTGGCACGTCTTCCATACTCTTTTCTAAGAACAGTATGTTGCAAAAGAGCATAGCTAAAATAGAATAGCATGTGGTATAAATTCTTTGGAATGTCTTAACCTCATGGCATAACCGCGAGACGCTTTATCATAATGAAAATTGCTACTTCCTCTTTGACCTGGGACACAGTGACTCCCCATTCCCCTCTACCCTTACCCCTCCCTACCAAAACTACCTTATAAAAATAAAAATCTTGCCTGCAATAAACAGAACCTTGACACATCTCAGGCTGACTCTGTCTTTCTTTACGCGCTTGGTTCTCTTTCCCTCTCCCCCCCATTATTCCTAGGTGATGCCTCCTCGAGACCCATAAAATTACCTGGCCTGCAGGACGGGTCAGCTATGAAATAGCTAGGTTATGAAAACCTGGGTGTCCAGCCACTGATGACTGGATGATGAAGACGAGGCATAGTTACACAATGGAATATCACTCAACTGTTAAGAAAAATGAAATGATGAAATTCACAGGCAAATGCACGGAACTAGAACCAATCATTTGAGATAACCTAGATCCAAAAAGACAAATAGCAAGCTTCCTCTCATTTCTGAGTGTTAACTTTAAACCTTCAGATATGTGTGTTTTATTGGGAATTACTCACAGAGGTCAGGAACTATTTCGGGGCCACAGGGAGAGATTTTCAAAGGAAGGAAGATAGGGCACACTGGCATAAAGGGTTGGAGGGGAATAATGGAACAGGAAGAGTTGAATTAGGGGAAGGGAAGGGAAGGCAAAGTAAAGGAGGGAATATAGGAAGGGGTAAATAACATTGAAAGATGTTGGAAAAGCCCAGCAAAATTCTTCACAGACCTTGAAAGAACGGTACTCAACTTCATATGGAAAAGCAAAAAACCCAGGATAGCCAAAACAATCCTATACAATAAAAGAACTTCTGGAGGCATCACAATCCCTGACTTCAAACTCTACTACAGAGCTACAGTACTGAAAACAGCCTGGTATTGGCATAAAAACAGACAGGAGGACCAATGGAACAGAATAAAAAACCTGGCTATTAATCCACACACCTTTGAACACCGATTTTTGACAAAGAAGCAAAAAAATATAAAGTGGAAAAAAGAAATCCTATTTAACAAATGGTGCTGGCATATCAACTGGTGTTGGATATCAACATGTAGAAGAATGAAAATAGATCCATATCTATCACCATGCACAAAACTCAAGTCCAAATGGATCAAAGACCTCAACATTAAGCCAGCCACACTGAACCTCATAGAAGAGAAAGTGGGAAGTACACTTGAACGCATTGGCACAGGAGACCACTTCCAAAATATAATATATCTCACAGACACTGAGAGAAACAATTAATAAATGGGACCTTTTGAAACTGAAAATCTTCTGTAAAGCAAAGGACACGGTCAACAAGACAAAACGACAGCCTACAGACTGGGAAAAGATCTTCACCAACCCCACATCAGACAGAGGTCTGATCTCCAAAACATACAAAGAACTCAAGAACAAATAATCCAATAAAAAATGGAGTACAGACCTAAACAGAGAACTCTCAACAGAGAATCTAAAATGCCGAAAGACACTTAAGGAAATGCTCAACATCCTTAGTCATCAGAGAAATGCAAATCAAAACAACTCTGAGATTTCATTTTACATCTATAAGAATGGCCAAGATCAAAAACACTGATGACAACTTATGTTGGAGAGGTTGTGGGGTAAAGGGAACGCTCCTGCATTGCTGGTGGGAGTGCAAACTGGTACAACAGCCCCTTTGGATGTCAGTGTGGTGATTTCTCAGAAAATTAGAAAACCACCTTCCTCAAGACCCAGTAATATCACTTTTGGGTATATATCTAAAGGATGCTCAATCGTGCCACAAGGACATGTGCTCAACTATGTTTATAGCAGCTTTGTCATAGCCAGAACCTGGAAACAACCTAAATGCCCCTCGATCAAAGAATGGATAAGAAAAATGTGGTACATTTACACAATGGAGTATTACACAGCAGAAAAAATAATGGCATATTGAATTTTGCAGGAAAATGGATGGAGCTAGAAAACATCATTTTGAGTGAGGTAACCCAGACTCAGAAAGACAATTATCACATGTACTCACTTCTAAGTGGTTTTTAAATGTAAAGCAAAGAAAACCAGCCCACAAATCACAATCCCAGAGAACTTAGACAACAATGAGGACCCTAAGAGAGGCATACATAGATCTAATCAACATGGGAAGTAGTAGAAGACAAGATCTCCTGAGTAAATTGGGAGCATGGGAACCATGGGAGAGGGTAGAAGGGGAAGGGAGAGGCAGGGTGGGGAGCAAAGAAAAATGTAGAGCTCAATAAAAATTATTAAAAAAAAAAAGAAAGATGTTGCAAAAAAGCATGGGAGTAACTCCCACTTTTTGGTGGATCTAATTCTCACACTATACGTTGAAACCCAATTACTGGGCCAGGAATCAATGACTAGACACGCCACTGGCCCTACAGGAGATGTATTATTCTGCTAAATGTACATAGTATTAAACAACTCCTAATGACTTATCCCTAGACCGACCCATCGAGCATCTCTCAGCCCTCACAGGAAAAGCTTCTATTTGCAGTCAGTGATTAACAGAGACCCACAGCTGAACAAGACGCCCAGCGTCAAGTCTGCCCAGCTTCAAATGGAACACAAACACCTCACCCACTCCTCCACAGCTCAGGCATCATTTCGGAGTAGGAAGGAGGAAGACTGTAAGACCAGGGGTGGTAGACGGCTCCAAGGAAACGGAGTTCTTGACATTGCAGGGCAGCTGCGCCTGTGAAGTCGCCGCAGTTGTGACAGCATGCTCAAAGTCTGTGCAAGCCCAAGACAAGCCAAATCCCACCGAGTCCCACGCTAAGGAGCTCTTGGCGATTATTGGCTACAGAGAAAGGGGGAGTTTCTTTTTGCTTCATGCAGTCCTTGGTGAGATGACCCCATTCCAGTGGTCACACATTCAAGAATATTTGGGATTCACAAATTGGTCCTGATGTGTTTTTATTTTTCTTCGTTTTGTTTTGTTTTAAGGGACGCAAAGTTGGATGGGTAGGAAGGTGAGGAATGGATCTAGTGACTGGGGTTGGAATGTGTGTGTAAACACGATCAAAACACATTGAACGAAAAACCTAAAAAAGGCTAACCGAAAATCAAAAACCCTAACGCTTCTGATACGCTTTGCAAAGGCCTCTCTGAGGCGGCTGCGCAGACAGGCAGCTCCGCTTTTCCAGCTCTTGCCGAATGCTGGGGGAGAGGGGTGGGCAGGGAGGCCTCAGCGTCCCTTGCCTGCTTCCAAGCTTTGGGGCTTTGGCTTTGGGAAGGCCTTAGGACTGACAACCAGTCCCCCCACTTCCCGACCTCCTGCTCAAACCTACCTGAGAAAGAGGAAGATGGCCCGCGGCGGCTCAACGCCCTGGGTCTCGGGGACCCTGGGTTCCAGGTGCGGTCCAAGCAGCTCCAGCAGCCCCGGGTGCAACTTCTCCGCTTCGTCAAAGATGAACATGGTCTGATGGCAGCGCCGCCGGGTCTCCTGCATCTGCCACCGCAACTCCTCCTGCACAGGACACCGGGAGCTCAGACCTCGGAGGAGCACGGGCTCCTGTTTCCCGAGGGCAGTGGAGCACCGAAGCCGGGCTCCACCCCCAATAACTACCAAACCCCAGCCCTAGCTTGGGCCCCACCTGGTACTAAGCTTCCCAGGTGACTCTCGTGTACCTGCGCTGGGCATCCCCACCTGGGATGAAGACGTGCTAGGTTCACGAGAAAAGCCCCTCCGGCAGGAAACAAGCACAAGCCAGGTGCCTTCTCCAGGACTTAGTAAGTCCCATCCTGGGGCTAAGGGCCTCGTCACTCCTCAGAGGCAGAGACTCTGAGCTCAACAACAGAGATAGAGGAAAGGCTCAAGGGCCCAGAGGCTGCCAGCCACACTTGAGGGTTAGTTACCACAAGGGCACCCGCCCCACCACAAGACAGTAAACCCTTCACTAAACATAAGCTTTGGGATTCGCTCAGAGCTGGGCACAGGTGCTTTTGACTGGAAAATCTACACTACCTATCTATCCATCTCAGGCTCCTCGGCATCCTCATCCCTTCAACACCCAGGCATGTGAGTGTGTGTACCTGTCGAATTTCTAGTGGGGAAGCGGATCCTCAAGCAGTTTGGCTGTAGTCGACGCCAGAGAATTCCTCCTGGGAAGCTCAGCTGTCGACCTCCTGACGTGAGCACATCTTGAGTCTCAGGACACCCTGCCCTTGCCCTCCACGGCCATACTGAAACTATCAGGTGACCCACGCAAGCTCTGTCCTCAAGGCTGACGTAATTTTCCCAGTTTACACACTCCCAGCTATTACAGTCTAGAGCCAGCATGGGCGTGGTCACTGCTGTTTGCTTACGTTCAGGCTAATTTTACTACACGTGTAAGTGAAAAAAAAACAAAACAAAACTCCAAATAGCAACACAGTAAAGGAACGTTCGGTCCATCAACCTGCTGGCATGTAAGAAGCTGCTATGGGAGGAACTGAGGAGTCCCATGTGATGTGATGATATGCCTATTAAAGATGCCTGGAGTGTAGCTAAGTAATAGGCTGTTGTCTAGCATGCTCACGGCCTTCCGTTCAATTTTTAGCACATTTTAAAAATGAACAGGTCTGTGATCTAAGATTTGGGAGGCCGAGGCAGAAGGCTCAAATCAACATTGTTGCTTTCTTTGCTCAATGACACACTTGTTCCGGGTGGGGGGGGGAGGTCTGAACAAGCCACCTGAAACAAGCGTCTCCACCTGCAGTTGGCGGCCATGTTAGTTCTCTAGGCTGGTGTCAGGGTTGGTTGTGCTTTCCAGGCAATTACGCTTGTAAAGACCAGCCACGCATTCGTGGCCCAGTGTAAGTGAAACAGAAGCCAGCCGAACATTCTAACAAAGCTACCATGGTGTGAAAGAGCTGGGAAGAAGTCTGAGAGCAGCAGAGTCTAGAATGTGTGCGTGTGCGTGCGTGCATGCAAGCGTGAGTGCGTGCGAATGTGTGTGAGACTGTGGGAGTTCAGAATACTAACTGTAAGCTAAGGAGGCTGTGACCTTTGGGGAGGGGGTGGTATAGTTTATGCCTTTTTTTCTAGTACACAGTCAGACACTCTCTCTCTCTCTCTCTCTCTCTCTCTCTCTCTCTCAAGACAGGATCTCGTTGTGCAGGCCAGGCTGATCTCGAGTTCAAGCTCTCCCCACCTCAGCCAACGAGCGTTGGAATTAGGCACGTGCCACCACACCCAGCTACATTTTACTACTTTCAACACAAAGAAAAAAATCAACAAACAAAAACCTGTAGTTCTGTTGGCGAAGCGCTCCAGTGTGCAACCGTCACGGAAACAGCTCCAGGGTGTAGTGGAAACATGGCTTTTCCCTCCTGCAGCTCGAGGCTGCCTGCGGACAGGTTCTGACCCTGCCGCTGCCTGTCCCCGCAGGCTCAGAAGTCTACCTCCTGGTGGTGTCAGTATCTCCACTCGCTCCTCGGCACAGGGGCCTCACCCCTGCCAGGCCACCCCTGCCAGGCCACCCCTGCCGGGCCAGCGCTGTGGCCTCACCTTGTACACGTCCGCATACTTGGGGTGTGGGAAATGGAAGGTGGAGATAAACATCTTGACACAGTCACTCCTCAGTCCATCCCGATACAGGTTCTCCGCCAGCATCCGGGCCACGAAATTCTTGCCTGTGCCAGACCAGCCATGGAATGACAGAGCCAGGGCTTTGTCTCCTTGGGGCTGCTCTAAGTAGCCCCTCACAGCTCTTAGGACCAGCTCGCTAGCCAGATGCTGGCCATGCAGTCGCACACGCAGGTCTGATTCTAAGCCTGGAAGGAGAAAGGCGGCCAGGGTGAGAGGTACAGGGGCGTGTGTGTACCGCCTCCCTGCCGCATCCCATCTCTTCTGATGGGATTCATCTGATGCCCGTGTCGGGGTCTAACCCCAACATAAACTATCTCTCTGGACCGGCGCGGAGGCGCGGGAGTAATTGAGACGCAGTTCACGCAGCAACTCAGAAGGGAGTCTCAGGGTTCACACAAATCCTGAAGGTCACGGATTATTCTCCAGACAGCTTTTATCTCCCAAGGTAAACGGAGGGGGAAGTTCATTAGCATTGTTTCCGGGTAGCAGGACTGAAGTCAGCTCTGGAATTGACACCTCTTCTCAGGCGGTCTCCATAATTACAAAGAAAGGAGCAGGATGACAGGAGCGTCCTGAGCTCCGGAGACAGCCAGTCTGAAGATGCTTTTAGCACCTCAGCTGCCACTGCGGCTTGAGAGCCTGGCTGCAGAAATATGTGGCCTGTATCACATTGCCCCACATCCCTGTGCTCTCGGAACAAGAAGCAAGAAGACAGACCTCACAGCAGATGGTATTCAAAGGCCATTTGCTGAAGAATTTGAGAAATCAAGATTGAACTCCGGGAAAACAGAATTACCCTTTCAAGGGGCTGGAGAAATGGCTCAGAGGTTAAGAGCATTGCCTGTTCTTCCAAAGGTCCTGAGTTCAATTCCCAGCAACCACATGGTCTTTCACAACCATCTGTAATGAGGCCTGGTGTATACAGACAGAATATTGTATACATAATAAATAAATACTTAAAAAAAATTACCCTTTCAGGATCCGCCACAGTGGGTACCTACCTGCTCCCATCCTGATCCAGGAGCTCATGCTGTCTGTCACCCACCCCAACCCCGCACATACTTGAGAGCAGCTTCCCAATGCCAGGCCTGCTTTCCTTTGCCCCCTGAAGGGGCACAGAGGCAGGGAGGCTGCGCCATCAGCTGGGGTAAGGTGCCAGCCGTTACCCTATTATCAAGACCAATTGGCAGGGCACCTCAAGTCGACCCAGAGGGAGTTCTGGAACACTGACAGGTGACAGTCTACTAGAGAGCACCGCCATCACATTGCTTCGCTTCAAAACCATTGGTGCCCCAAAGGGAAAACGGCCACTTAGAGCCGTCTCCCCTAGCATCAGGACCAGGAGGCCGCAGATCTGGACTTCCAGGCCCTGAAGAGCAGTGGGTCATCTAAAGGGAGAGCAGGGACTTGATGGGAATGCACGTCAGGCTTCCTGACCTGTGTGCCCTGAGATTCCACCCTGGGCTAGATCCCGCTCCAGACACACTGAGTCACTGCTGGTCTGTCCCTCTCTCTCCCTCCCTCCCTGTGAGTATGTGTTCTTGTGTGTGTGTGTAGGGGGATTGCATGCGGAGGCCAGAGATTCAGACTGGGCATTTTCCTCAATGACTTTCTACCTTGTTGTGTTTCTGTTGTTGTTTGCTTGTTTGTTTTGGTTTTGGTTTTTTGAGATTCTGGCTGTCCCAGAACTCACTCTGTAGACCAGGCTGGCCTCTGCCTCCTAAATGCTGGGATTAAAGGCGTGTGCCACCCTCGCCCGGCTTCCGCTTTTTTTTTTTTTTTTTTTAAAGGCAAGATCTCTCATTGAACTCAGAGCTAGGTTTTGCTCCGCTGGCTTTTCCAACAAGCCCCAGGGGTCCTCCTGTCCACCCCAGTGTGCCTGTGCCACTGTGCCTCACTTTTATGTGGAACTGACCTCAAATTCTCATGCTTGTATGACAAGCACTATATGCCCCATTGGCACTTTTTCTAATTAAGTAACCTAATGTTTACTTTGCAGTCAAGGTGACAGAGACGCAAGAGGTAGAATGGGAGAACTCCAGGCAACTCCAGGTGAGGAGCTGCTTCTGGGGAAACAGGAAAGTTTGCTAAGGATTAAGCCCTGGGCCTTTGTCAGAACAGGTTTTGTGTTTGAGGCTAAATACCACAGTGGAGAGTTAAAATGCAAACTACTTGCAACATGCACTAGACCCACTAAGCATGCACCAGATCCACTAAACAGGCACCAGATCCACCTAACGTAATAAAAAACACAGGGGAGAAGGTTGGTTGGTGTTTTTTTGTATCCATGCAGCTAGGCTGGGGGAGGCTGGGGGTGCACAGGCTGTCTGATAGGGCAATGTTCATCCATGGAATGGTATGGATTGGTTTAAAATGGAAAATAACTTCCTGTTTCTCTCAGGATGCAGGCTCACCCCCCCCCCGCCCCCACCCCTGCAGCCTTACTTTATCAAGATAAACCAAGAAGCCCAGGTTATACCCACCACTGACATTTGCTGCTTAAACTTAAAGATAGAGTTTTATTTTTTGTTTTGTTTTGGCTTTTGATCCTGGGTCTTTCTACATAGCCAAGGCTAACCTTATATTCATGATCTTCCCACCTCATGGGTAGAACAGCACACCTGACTACATGGGAACACTGTGTATTGTGTGTGTGTGCCTGTGGGTATGGATGTCTGCACGTGTGTGAAGGTCAACATCAGGTAATCTCTCACTTTTTCCTTTTTTAAAACAGGGTCTGTCTCTGGACCCGTTGCGCATTGATTTGACAGCCCGAGTAACAGCTCCAGAGACCCACCTGTCTCTTTGCCCCGTAACACTGAGTTACAGGGGTACAATGTTGTGCCCGGCTTCTATGTGCTAGGGATCAGAACTCGGGTCCTCAGGCTTGCCCTGCAGGCATTTTACCAAGTGATCCAACTCCCCAACCCCTAGAAAATTACATTTAAAAAACTTATTTTTATTTTTAAATCATGTGTATATGTGTGTGTAAGTGATGGGTTTATGGAGAGGGTGCAGCTGCCTGCAGAAGCCAGAAGGAAGTGTCAGCTCTCTCAGAAGTGGAATTATATAGGCAGTGGCTATGGGATTGAACTTAGGTCCTAACTCCTGAGCCACCTCTCTGGCTCTCTGGGACATTTTAGCCACATTTCTGGAGCACCTTTCTGGCTCTGTGCTCTCAGCCATGCTGAGAAATTGCTCGCTATTCATGGTCTGGTCCTAACTCTCCTGAAAGGGGGCAGGCTGTGTCGGATTCTCATCCTCCGCAGAACTCAGCACAACGCCTGGTGCAGATACCTCAACAGAGATGGGCTATTCTTCCTCAGGGCTGGTAGGGCATGGCTGGAGAGACATCTTCAGAAGAGACTGGGACAAATGGTGACAGGGCCTGGCCTGCTGTGTCTCCTGCCAGCTGCCTTAGTTGTGTGTGTGACATATCCGTGGTTCTCAAAGATCCCGGCAAGCTCACACCCTTAAACTAAAGGTAAAAGGTGTCCCCAGCACGCAGGGCATCGGCACCGGGAGTGAGGTGGGATCAGGGTTTTGCCCCTGATCTAAATATCCCCACACTCTCAAAAAACAGGAGGGTTGGGGCGGGACACTTGCCAAACATGGCTGAGCACTAGCTCCGTGAAAACACACACCCACACAGGAAGTATTTGGAAACTTGTTCCTAAATGGTAGAGAGGACTATCCGTTAAGGACACTATCATTGTTGGCTCCCTGTCATTCCTATTGTTGGAGTGTGTCCTTTCTGGAAATCAAAGTTCAAAGTCTTGTCAGAAGAGACCCTCAAGTAACCACAGACCTGACTGTCCTCTTATTGGGGAGGGGGGAATGTCGAGGGATAAGTTTCTCACCAGTTGCTTCTCCACAGTCGCCAGCCCCCTTCCCACAGATTCCCTGGACCCTAGAAATCATGCCAGCTCCAACCTGTCAAGTTGTTGGAGATCCTGCAGTCCCCGCCACCGGTGCAGCAGTCCTGAAAGCGGCAGAACCACTCGGTGAGGCGATCCAGGGACCGCCGGCCCCACTGCAGAGGAAGGCTCCAGCCTGGAAAGGAGATGCCATGAGATGGCAGGGCAGTGACGAGAGACATCCCCGAGGTTTCCCAGGGACGGCGCTCAAACGGGAGTTTGTGTCCTAACTCCCAGCCAGGCTCCAGCATGTGCTCCAGAGCTGCTTCCATGAGCCACAGCGGCGAATATATCTGGGGACTGGGGACAGCTACCGGTTGTGTCTACGAAGGTCTTTCCCTGAGTCATTAGTAAGGCGAGCAAGAATGGGGAGACTGTGAGTGTCTAGAGGAATCAGGGCAGGTGAGGTGCGGCAGGCAGTCAGACCTCTTGCTGTCCCCAGGGGCTGCACCAGATGTGCAGTAATAGGCCTGCTAATCCGCGGAGGCTGTCGCTACTCCTGCTAGGGGCGCGAGGCGACGCTGGTGAGGCCGGCAGGGGGAACTAGGGGGTCGGCGGCGGGGACGCCCTTACCCAGCGGCGGCGCGGGGGCCTCCTGGTCCTGACAGTGATCGGGCCACACAGTGCAGCTGAATAACCCCCAGTACCGTTTGGAGAGGGTCCCGACCGTCCTCAGCTGCTCCTTCAGGCGTTGGACGCCCGGCCAAGCGGCCGGTTCCTCGCCCTCCTGCCCTGAGCTTGCGGCACCGCGGTGGCCCTGCGTGCCCGGGGGTCGCAGTGGCAGCAACAGCAGCAGCAGCAGCAGCCAGAACGTCCCACCAAGCATGACCGGACCGCGTGCTTCCGTCACTAAGTGTCCGAGACTCAGGGATCCACCGCCGTCCGCAAGCGGGCACGGCCCGGGATTGGTGCCGCCATGTGATCGGCCCGCCCTTCGCGGAGGTTGAGCCAGTTACTGTTCTCAGACTTGCAACCCACCGGAACCGAAACCCAAACAGACGCCGGACTATAGGAATCCCGAGACTTGAGCCCCTATCCATCCCACCGGACGTAGCCTATTCTGGGGCATGCCTGAGGCCCCAAGGAAGGTGACAGCAGGCCCTAAAATGGCCACTGCCAACCACTCAGTTGTGCCTCCCACAAAAGGACCCTTTGGTGCCCAGCCCTCGTAGGAGGTCAGCTTTTCTGCCAACCCCAGGAAGACGATAAAACCCGCTAAGCAGGAAGCGTTTTGTTGGCCCGGAGTCAGCTGAGTGGAGAAGCTTCCCCGGAATGCGAGCAGGATTGAGCTGAATGACCAAGGTCGCCCCTGGTCCTCTGGAGAGGGAAATGAGACCACAGCGAGTTCAGCAGCGGGCTGGGTGCCAATCCGGCAAAAGCATGAGGAAGTCGGTTCGCGAGGTATTTGAGTTTTGGAAACTCCCGAGATAAAGGGAAATTGTGTCACGTGAGAATTATAAAAGTTAGCCTAAGTATTTTCCCACTCATAGCTAGGTTTCTGAAGCTGATCCGACGCGCATGACACAGGGTTTTAATCTCACCGAGGAGGCAGAGCTCTGTGAGTTCAAGGTCAGCCACCACTGTAACGAGACCCCGTCTATATTTAGAAAACATTAAATACCCAAGTTTGGTCCTGAGCTGGCATCATGGGGGGGGGGGGTGGAAATGAGTCAGGGGTGAACCCTGGTAGAGGTCTTTGGGTTATTGAGTAGACAGATGATGGGAGCATGTTCTTGTAAGAGAATTGTGGGTGAGCCCTTTTGCTCTACCAACTGCTCCTGCCATGATGCGAGGTGCTGGCCTTCTCCAGAGGCCTGTGAGTAGTGAACTGGAACCTTCAAGGCAATGAACCAAATAAACCTTTCCTTAGTAACTCTATCCAGCATTTGCCACAGTGGCGGGAAACGGACACACACTATTATGCTTATTTGAAAACATTAACTCATTCAATAAACATTGACAGTTTAACATACCCGTTATCTGAACGAGCCCTAGTTCCTATTTGTAGGACTTGGGCGTTCCCTTTCTTGTCTACACTCTGACTACCCCACCCACACTCCACGTCATAGGGATGCTGGGAGAGCAGTCGACCGAAAGGTTCCTATTCAGTACGTGGGCACTTCTATTTCCTCGCAGCAAGCATGTGCATTTATAGGGGACGGGCAAAGCAGCATACCGGGAGAGACTTGGGTGGCTCTAGTTATGCTAGGGTTTACTGGAGAATTCAGTGTCAACGAGGTAGACGGTAGAGGGCCCACTTGTGTGTTAAAGTCAACAAAAGTGAAAAAAATACTAAAAACAACAGTTTGCCAAAACAACACAAGTTTTAATTCTGTGGGGTAACCATCTCAGTTTTACAAGTTCTGGGTTGTGCTTGGAATCTGAGAGCTTTGGTTTAGATTTAGCATTTTACTGCAGATAGTTACTCGAAACTCCTTAGACTAACTTGGTTTCAAGACATTCCTTTAAAAACACTTGAGGCAGACATTTCACCAAGAAGTCGGCCCCACGTTGAAACAACAAATTCACACATCAGTCAGTGTTTGTATGTCTCTATGTATTTCCCCAAATTCCTCGTCTCCCCTTCTCAGGGATTGGGGCTGTCGGCTGTAATCGCCAGGGTGATGGGGACATCTAGAGGTTACTGTGGGAACTACAGGAAGCTATGACCGTTGGGCTTTACTCAAAAGACCCAGGGCTCTGACTTTGCCTAAGAGGCGTGTCCTAACAGCAGAATCTGGAGCGTGGGACCGCAGACCTCCTGAGTCAGCATATTTCTAAGAGAAAATGGGTATTCACCACTTTATTGAATTTATCTGGATGGGCCCTCACTTTTCTGAAGATACCTTCCTACCCCACTGAAGGTAGCCAGAACCATCAGCCTTGAAAACAACCCCTGAGAACGACTCAAGCCTTTTACCTCCAAATAAATTTGGTAAACAAACTGAAATCATGAGTGTGTCCTAGTTCACCTGTTAAAGGTTGGACTTCCGTGGCCCAGAGCACTTGCGGAATCCCTGTGGTCTGTGACTGTTCTTTCAAGAGAAGGTACACTCCAGTAACAGGATGACCTTAGGAAACCCATGACCCAGGCAATGGACCCTACATCTTTTGAGTTCACAGCTCCCCAATTCTGGAGTCATGGATTTTTATTCTGTCTTTGTTGAGATAGGGTCTCACTACTGTGGTGCTGGCAGGCCTGGAACACGCTACACAGATCACTCCTGCCTCTTACAGGCTAGCAGCTATACACAGGTCAAATCCAGACCAGTGCCTTCTTCAGTGGAGGTGCTGTGCCCATCCTCCCCACCTCCAGCACTGTTCCCTGGTCCTATTTCCAGAGCAAATTTACACTACTCCAGAGGTACCTGTAGCCTTACAAGCTATTCCTCTGCTGACACTAGTACAACGTTTCTACACCTCTGGGTCACAACCCCGTTACGGGGGAGGGGTGTCAAATGACCCTTTCATGGGGGTTACCTAAGACCATCATAAAGCAGATATTTATATTACAATTCATAACAGTGGCAAAATCAGTTATGAAGTAGCAACGGAAACAATCTTATGATGGGGTCACCACATGAGGAACGGTATCAAAGGTCACAGCATCAGAAGACTGGGAACCCCTGCTCTAGAGGCTTAAGGGAAAGGCCAATCACTGCCATCAGGGTGGCACGCCACAGGTCTTAGGACTGGGGTTTATACTGCCCACCCCTGCCTGCCTGCTTTAGAAAATGAAAGCTGCTCGGCCGCAGCTTCTAATACCTGTCTGGTGGGCAGCAAAGGGGCCCCTCAGATAGGGTCTGCAAAAAGATCTATGTGATTGTTTAAATGAGAACTATCCCTGAGTCTTGGGCCTTTTAATATTTGGTCCCTAGTTGATGGTATTGTTTGAGAGGTTTGGGAGCTATGACCTTGTTGGAGGAAGGGGTTAAGAGTTAAAGACCTGCCAGGCATGGTAGCACACGCTTTTAATCCCAGCACTTGGGAGGTAGAGACAGGCAGATCTCTGAGTTCCAGGCCAGCCTGGTCTACAGAGTGAGTTCCAGGACCCAGGGCTACAGAGAAACCCTGTCTTAAAAACTCATGTCATTTTGAGTTTGTGAAAGACTTTGAGACACCTTAGCACTACTGCACCCCCCATCCTGGAAACCAGGCCTCTAGCATTAGGAGGCACCTTAGCACTACTGCACCCCCCTTCCTGGGAACCAGGTCCCTAGTAACCAGCCACGCGTGCATGGGAGCTTTGAGTACTTTCCATCCCCATTGTAGTCTTTCTCCAATAGACCCGGACCCTGGAACTGGGGTGAGACGACCTGCAGGTGTTCCTCCTTGTAACCGCCATAACATTGATCAAGTAGAGTTAGCTGACCATTGTATGAACTAGTCAAAACAGTTGACAAATGATTTTTGGACTTTCCCTTTGATTCTGTACTACCCCCTCCCTGAATTTGTGGTTTTCTCCTTTAAAAGAGCTTGTAATGGACAAAGCAGGAGTCCTTCTCCTCTCGAGGCTGAGGGACCTCTGCCGTGGCAGAATAAAAATTCCTCTTGCTATTGCATCAACCGTGCTGTGAGTGTCTCTTGGGGCGACCTCCTCCTTGGTGGGGCTTTAGGGCCCAACATTTGCTCCGCCTTGTGCTGTGGTTGAAGGTGGGAGCCCACAGCTTCTGCTCCAGCACTGTACCTGCTGCTTCCACTCCACCATCATGGGCCTTGGCCATGGTGTTTATCACAGCGATAGAAAACTAACAGGATCTGAACGTGGTGAGTCAGGAAGGAACACATGTCCATGTGCGAGGTCCAAATACAACAACAAGAGCTCGCACACTTATGTACCATACCTCTGGTTTAGACAGTGGATTTCCATGTCAAAAATGAAAATTCTGGATGTCCTAAGAATTCTGATCAGGGGAACCAGCTTTTTCTTCCTGCTTGTAGCACACTGTTCTGCCAAGTTCTACTCAGGATTTCACCTCACGAGAAGCTTCGACAAAGGAGCTAACTAAATATCCAGGAAGCCCTATGAAACAATCCCTAAGAAAGTTTAAGTAGAGGCAAAAGATGTAACATTTTCCCTTAAAACAGGTAGAAAAATGGAGTAGGAATCACCAGGGGGGAAAAAGTATTAATAGGAAAACATGATACAATAATATATATTAAAATCTTTATTTTTTTCAGATTGAAACCCATAGAACACATTAGAAATTTGTTTGGTGTCTTACCAAGTACAACCTCTGTCTGCACAACAGCTCCAAGAGGAAATCCTAGGCAGATCAAACAAGAGGGCAATGATACCTACACCACCCTTTAGACAAATAAATTAGCTTCCCAGTAAGTTATTCCCAGCTTCCCCCAGTAGTTTATGAGGATCACCTTAGCTCCTAAACACTGTGACAGTGCAGTACCCAGCCCCACTCACCACCCAGACTAGAGAAATAGAGGGAGAAAAGCCAGCCTCCCCAGGGAGCACGTTTCACAGTCAGGTCACCTGGCTCAGCAGACGCTGATGAACATGCTAATCTTTACCGGCCAAGGGCCAAGTCCTTTCTCAATGTCAGTATTTCCTTGTGTCAAAGTAAATCTATTTTCCTTGGCAGAATGCACACACGGCCACATTACCCTCGACACCTCTACCCACCTGTGCTGAGCCCGGATCCCAGGCTGCACAAGGGGGCTTGCCGACAGCAGCTGTCCTATGATCATAAGAGAAGGTCATTTGCTGATCAGAGGGATCCAGAGAGGGGTGAGAAGGGAGGCTGAAGGAATGTGGTGCATGGAGAGGGAAAGCCAAAGTGTGAGTGTCTGAAAGAAAACATGAAGTCTTTGGATGACAATGCTGTCCCCAGCACTGGGAAAATAGAGAAGCTGTCAGGGTTCACTCTGCTAAAAGAATGTAATAAAGGTACCTGAATTCTTCCATTTTCTTCTTAAAATTTAGTTTGACACTTAACCCTAAGTGCAAACAGGTAAACATACCTTAAAAATACCATTCGTCTCCAGCACACTGGAGCCTACTGTTTTGAAAGAGACTTACTTATAGTCCTCCCCAAAGCACAATGCAGCCTGAGACTAAGGGACAGTTTTGGGAATATAAATTCTATATCCAAATTTCCCTTTGCAACTAAAATACATATATTTAAGAGGTGGGAGCAAACGAGGAGCCAGCAATGGGTTCTGGCTTGTTCTGCAGATGGTGGGTTGGCAAATGCCCTCTGGTGACTCGATTGTGACAGTCCTAATGCTAAAATGACCCCAGAAGAGGCCAGGGTCACAACACCTTTGAAAAATGTATCTGTCTTATTTCCCCCAACAGAACTTTGTGTCTATAAATTTGGGGCTAGAAGCTTATGGCTGGTCCACAGCCCCACCCGCCATGCCAAGATTCACCCAAATATACCTTTCCTACCTTAACCCAACTCCACCTTAGAACACAGGTTTATATTCTAATTGCTGTGTCTCACCACTGTTGGCTCAATTCTAACTTTATTCACTGTGGGTCTGAGTACCTCCTAATGCCATGAGTGTGAAAAAAAAAAAAAAGTGTGAATGGCTTTTCTCTAATTTTTTTTTTTTTTCAGAGCAGCTTTTCTGCCTGCTCTTTTCCTCAGAAGAATCTCGTGCCTTCGATGTTACAAGTAAGGCTCCTTGTCACTCACTGCACCAGTGGACAGAGTGCTGACCCACAGCCCAGTCAACACTGAGGGGAGGGCTGACTGCAGCCATCTGTTGGCTCCCACTTTCGCAAGTGCTAACCACACTAATCTCAAATTCAACTGTGAATCTGCAAGTGGCCTGGAAACTGGACTCAATACCTCCTTTTGCTAACACTATTACAGTGTTTTGTGCTAATATTTGTTTTATTAAGTTCAATATCCGAGTTTTAAAAAACGCAGCCTATTCCTTAATCTACCTCAAAATGCACATAAAATGTGCAAATGTTCCTAACTCCACGCCTTTTAAAAGTTGTTATAGGTTACTAGGTTTCACCATGAGAAACCTGGGGTCTTACCCTAGGAAGGTAGCTGCCTCAAGCAGGCTCCATGGCTGGCACTGAATGTCAAGGAGAGCACTGGAAGGCTGGTCTTGACAGAAGTCCAGAACCACACAAGAGGCGGAGGGAACACACAGCTCTCGGAGTGTGGACATGTCCCTAGTCCTGGAATTTACCACAGCTGCTTACATGTGAAATGACTTTGCTAGAATACAGAACTAAACTTCAACTTCAAGGAGATGGAAGAATTCTACTACACCAAATGAGATTTGAAGAATAGAATTTGGATTTGATATGAACCCAAAATATTGAGGCTCTTTGTGGTAATCTCCTCAGTTTCAAGGCTCAGAAGGCTTATCATCTTTCACTCCGCTACCTACAGGACCCCCATCTCAAGCTCCAGCCAACTACTAGCAGGGCACATTCTCATAAGAAGGCACAGACAAGCCACCACCTCCTAGAAACAGCAGCATCACTGATTAAATGCCTCACACCTGAAAAGGGAAAGGAGAGCTGGGCATGCTTGTTCATACTTATACTCTTAGCACGTGGAAGGCTGAGGCAGGAGGATTGCTGCCAGTTCAGAGCCAGCCTGTGTTACATATTAAGTTCCAGACCAGCATGGGCTAGAGTGAGAGCCTATAGTATTCTTCAAAATAAATAATGCCGATGCAAGAAAAGGGAGGAGGGAGGAAAACTGATGAAGGGATCACAGGCACCTGACTTGAATCACTTCAGCTTGTTCTGCTACTTTGGGCAAAAGGTGGGTGTGGAAGTAAATTAGTGTTCATAGGGGACCACACTTGGGTTGTCATTGTGTTTCCTCCAGAGATAATTCTGGTTATTTGAACAGACTGGGGGATGAGTGTTTGCTTTGGACATATCCAAGAACCGAAACTCAGGGGAAGCTGCTTTTCAATAAGCCAATCATCTTCCTGGTTCTACAGAGTGAGCCCCTCCCTGTTCTCATCCCTGAGATGTCAAATCCACAGCACTCAATAGCTAAGAGCCCCAACATGGTCCTGCCCTTCTCCCCTCCAGCAGACTGTGCTATCTTGTTGATGCCACTATGGAGGAACAGTACATTTTCCAGTCTGACTAGTTCTGCCTTTTTTGTTTTGTTTTTAAGACACAAGGAACTGCAAAGTGATCTACAGAATCCATGGGTGCAGAGAAAGGACGGCAAAGTTCACCGTAGACATACACACTCTCGAACCAATTCCTTAGCCAGTGCCACACCTGCTTGTCCTTTGGAGTGGGAATAAGACTGACCAGACCTGGTGCTTGCTGCCTGAAGGGTCAACTGCCGAGGACTCCAGGTGATTCTGCAGACAAGCTTCCACGACAACACTGCAGAAAACACCAGGCACTCCCAGGGCTGCCCTGTCTTCTACCACCAGAACCCGCTGCTGGCCACTTCCAGGCCCTCACATGCCATTTGGAGTTGATTGTGCTGTTTCTCTATCTTCGTAAAAACCAGTTCCACTTGTTTCACGTTGTGGGTTACAAGTGGGAGAGCGGCATCCGGTCTTCCACCAGCACCGTGTCCATCCCAAACTGGTCAGTGCACTGCTTGACGGTGGCAAGGACATTGAGGAGCCGCTGGTCTACAGTGTCCAAGTGTGGATCAGAGAGCACAGGGGAGATGGGGTCGTGGGCCATGGCAGATTTTAAGGCAGACTTTAGCACTCCGTTCTTTAGGTAGTTGAGTCTATTCCAGGTTGAGACCCGAATGCTGGAGGACAGAGTTTTAAAGAAGTTACAGAACATTCTTCCATCACACTCAGTAAAGCTTGGGTAGTAGGGAAGGCATTTAAAATCATGTAAAATATTTCAACTAAAAAAAGTACCACTTCTATTTCAGACTTAAGCTCTGTATTAGAAGTAAGCTGCACTGCCATGCTGTAAATTTGGGGAGTAATTAGAGATTCGTACAAAGATCTGTACGCATTCACTACAGTAAGGAGAGAACTTAAGCAATCTAAATGTCTACCAAGTGAGACGTACTTCAGATTATGGCTGACACATCAGGGAATACCATGCAGCCATTAAAAAGTTTGAAAACTGAGTGGCATGGGGAAATGTCCATGACAACTACATTAGAGCTGAGAAAGTCAGTGAGAAAAACTCACTGCCTGTTTGTAGGGAAACTAACCTGCATGATCAGTGATGAAACTACAGGATTAGAGCGAACTTCACTATGTTACAGGAGTTATCGCAGATGCTCAGGGGTGATTGTAAGTTTATTATTCAAATATTTCTGGATTTTAAAAGTTCTACCATTAATAATGGAAAAATATTTACTCTAAGAATATCTCTTCTTTTGCCAAGAGATGATGGTGGACACCTTTAATCCCAGCACTCAGGAGGCAGAGGTAGGTGGTTCTCAGTGAGTTCGAGGCCAGACTGGTCTACAGAGTGAGTTGCAGTCCAGGACAGCCAGGGTTACACCTAAACACCCTGTCTCAAAACTCCACCATCACTACCACTGGGGGAGGGGGGGAGGAGGATCTACTTTCTTGGGAATGGAGATGGCTCAGCACTTAAGAACATTTATTGCTCTTGGAGAGGACCTGCGTTCAGTTTCCAAAACCCACTCTGAGCTGTTCACAGTTGCCTGTAACTCCAGCTCCAGGGGACCCAGTGCCTTCTTCTGGCTTCTGCGGGCACTGCATTCAAGAACACAGAGTCCCACAGGCAGAGACACAGACACACAGACACAATCTGAAATTTTAAAGAAATGATTTTCTTTAACTGGGATGATAGCACTCTGGTCCCAAGGTTTTCAGGACAGAGACCAGTATGGCATGTGCCCAACCTGAGTCACTCTGTGGGTCCACAATGTGCCTTGAAGGTGGCCCAGAGGCTTAGCAGAGTCACCTCTTCCTCTGCAGATCGTGACACCAGCTGCTGACCGTCTGTATTCTACATACTCTCAGCTTTCCAATCTCAGTAAGGAGAATTAGAGCTGCCCAGGTAAGTAAATGTGACTTTCTAAAGAACTCTGTTTCTCACTGAAAAAGAAAAGGCCAAGCATGGTGGTACAGACTGTGTGTAATTCTGGCACTTGGGGACTGCAGCAAGGATGCTGGGATTTTGAAGGCAGCCTAGGCTATATAGTGAGACCCTGTGAAGAAACAAGGAAGAGGCAGGGGAAGACAGGGAAGGAGGGGAATGAGAGGAAGAAAGCAGATGGACTGAGACGGGTGGGCTGAAGAGCTCAGTCAGTAAAGAGCTCTGCAAGCACAAAGACTTGAGCTGATCCCCACAGTTCATGTAAAAAGACACTGGGCATAGTGGGACCTACTTGCAAACCCGGAGTCAGGAAGATGGAGACACGAGGATCCCTGGGGCTTAATGGCCAGCCAGCCTAGCCTACTTGATGAGTTCCAGGGCAATGAAAGACCTTGTCTCAAAAAAAGGGGGCAAGGCGGACAGTTCCTGAGGATGGCACCAAGACTGTCCTCTAGCCTACACACATACATGCACACACATGCATACTTGTACACATACAACAGCAGAAGTTTGTGTGTGGGGAGAGTGAGGGTGGAGTGTAGCTCAGCGGCAAAATACTTGCTTAGTAGGCACAAGACCTGGATGTAGTCCTAGTACTGGAAACTAGACAGACAGACAAGGTAAAAAGAGAATAAAGGCAAAGCTGCAGGGGCTATGTTTCCGGGCTGACTAGTACTAGGGTTTTCCCAGACCTGCTTTCACAGACAAATGAGGCAAATCCTGCTGGTTCTTGATGTGCAAACTTCAAAATCAGTCCAGGAGCAGGGACCCGAAGCATGAGCTCCTAGGGCAGACTTTACTTCATTTTCTTGATCTACTTCTCAATTTCTTTATTCTCTAATATATTTAAATCACATATTAAATACATAGAGCAAGTTTTTTTGGATTAGATAATTTCAAACTAAGATATATAAATTCCAGGGGGCAGGACTTGAAACCAAATTTGGTAAACCAGATGTAGCAACTAAGAATACAGTTTCTAACAGATTTTTAAAAAAACTATTAAATTTTTTTTTGAGATTGGTTTAGTCTGTAGCCTGGATGGCCTGGAACTCACTATGTAGACCAGGTAGCCTCAAATTCACAGAGATACACCCGCTTTTGCGCTCTAGGTGCTGGGGTTAAAGCCAAACTGGATTATTTTTAGTAGGTGGTAGGGATAAGAAGCCAAACACAGACACATGACTTAGATACTACAAACTCAAAACGAATTCTGAGCTTTGGGTGAGCGGCCTCTGCGCTCCCCTCAGCTCTGTCGGGGTGTATAGGTCTGGGCTGTAGATGTAGAAAAAGCAACCAGGATGTTTTAAGGTCAAGGAAACTGATGGACTGGTACCTGAACCTGAAGGAAGCAATGCAGGCAGACACACCTGCTGTGCATTACTTACATGCAACACTGATAGAGAGGGGCAAGAATGCTTCTCTCATCCAGCGAGGGGTTCCCAAAGCTGAAAATTAAATTACGACAGTGAATTAGGTGCAAGCGTTTGCTCCCTTCAGCATCAAAGTAAGAACATATGCTGTAAAAACCCAACTGTGATCCTAGATAATTTCATGCTCCAACAGCTCAAATAATTTAAATTAAAAATAAGCCAGGCATCACTAATTAGACACAGGATCATTAACAGTCTGAACTAAACAGCAAACAAACTCATGTAACAAGGACCAAGATGCTACAAGATGCTGGACCACAGCTGTGGTGCCTCACTGTGAACTCCCAGAGCAGAGGGAGAAGGCAGAAATCCTAAGTCCGTACACCTGTAAGAGATGCAGAGAGAACACCAGGCTTGGGATCCCTGCCAGAGTCCCCCAGAAGGCAGGGGAACATTCCAGAATCACTAAAACCATATTCCTGTAAGCAGCTTCAAACCAGAAAAACTGCCCAGGAGCTTTCAGAGGTTGAGACAGAACCCACTCAAAGCAGATACAAAAATGGTATTTCATTAGGAATGAAAAGGTGATTCTGGGGGAAATGGTCACACTTTCACTTTTTTTTTTTTTTTTTTTTTGGTTTTTTAAGACAGTGTTTCTTTATCTGTTCTGGAACTTGCTCTGTAGATCAGGCTGGTCTCAAATTCAAAGAGATTTTCCTGCCCCTGCCTCCCAAGTACTGGTGTTAAAGGTGTGAGCCACCACTGCCTGGTGCCTTCCGTTCTTTTCCTGGAATCTCTCCTTAATGACTGGAGAAGCCTCTAGCCCTAACAATAGTGCAGGCAAAGCAGCTGCTATCCTTTGAATATTTCTGCGGCCCACAAACTCTTGTTGCAACTTAATCCCCAATGCAAGGCTATAAAAAGGCTAAGTCTAGGATAGTTTTGATCTCAAGTCCTCCTACCCCAGTCCCCAGGCTCATCTAAGGCACTAGTTGCCAGCTGTAGCACTGTAGAGAGGTAAAGAAGTCTTCAGTAGGTGGGGTCCAGTGGAAGGAAATCAGGCCACTGGCGTGCATTCTTTTTTTTTTATATTTATTTATTTTTTTTTATTTACTTATTATGTATACAATATTCTGTCTGTATGCCTGAAGGCCAGAAGAGGGCACCAGACTTCTTTACAGATGGTTGTGAGCCACCATGTGGTTGCTGGGAATTGAACTCAGGACCTTTGGAAGAGCAGGCAATGCTCTTAACCACTGAGCCATCTCTCCAGCCCCTGGCGTGCATTCTTGATGGGGATTTTGGGACCCTGGCCTTTTTCTTGTTGTTCTGTTTCCCAAATGCCACGAGGCCAGCAGCTTTGCTCTAAATGTGCTCCCAGACGTGATGATTCTGCCTCATCACAGGCCCAAAAGCAATGAAGCCAACAAACCTCTGAAACCATGAACTGACATATGCATTTCATTCCTACAAGTTGATTTATGGCAGTATGTGTATTTGAAAGGTGACCTACCGTAGAGAATGTACTCTTTCACACAGACACCAACAAAACAGTCCTGCTATACCTTTTGGCATTATCAAGAAGAATAAGCATGCTAGCGCCTTCATCATCTTGAAAGCTTTCATAGTGATGGCGGTCAGCATTGCCAATCAAGTAATCAAAGACAGCGGTGTCAATGATGTCCAAGAGGCGTGGGCCTGAGTCATAGGGGGACGTTTTCTTCACGGCATCGCAGTAGCTCTCATCGTATTCCCACCTGGAGACAAGGGGCGTCACAAGGGTTACTGAGTGCCAGCTACACCTGACTATAGAGTTTAGCTCCTAAGAGTCCTACAAAAGCCATGTGCTAAGTTTCGTTGCCAGCTGTGATGTTATTAGGAGGTGGGGCCTTGTGGTAGGAAGCTGAGCAGTTGAGAGCAAGCCTAGAAGGAGGCTCTGGCTACCCTGGCCTTCCTTCTCATTGTCTGCTTCCTAGCCACCATGAGGAGAACAGCTCTTCTCCGTAGCGTATGTGCTGCCTTGATACTGTATGACCATAAGTCTCAACACAGAGAGCAAACCAAGCTGGGCTAAAACTTTAGAAACTGTGAACCAAAAGAACCTTTCTTCTTTTAAAACATTCGGCATTTTGCTAGTGAAATGTTAATAAAGAAAATTGGCACCAAGATAGATTCATTGTTGTGACTATCTCTGACAGCGAAGATTCAAAGGTCTTTGGAATTGGTTTGCAAAGTTAGAAAAGTTTAGAGAAGTAAGCTAAGGAAAGCAGAGAATGCTGGAAACACAAATTTCTGGGAGGTTCTGGTAGGAATACAGTTAGTCAAAGCTGTACTGACAGGTTTGAGATGGAACAGGGACTTCACTGGGAAGTAGACTAGAAGCTTATGTTACATTCTCAAGAAAATCTTTTTTTTTTTTTTGGTTTTTCGAGACAGGGTTTCTCTGTGGTTTTGGAGCCTGTCCTGGAACTAGCTCTTGTAGACCAGGCTGGTCTCGAACTCACAGAGATCCGCCTGCCTCTGCCTCCCGAGTGCTGGGATTAAAGGCGTGCGCCACCACCGCCTGGCTTCTGTGTTTTGTACTTACCCTGAAACTCTCTACAAAGGCTTATATGGTAGAGGCAATTTCAAGGCAGTGAGAATTACTGGCTGCTTTTAGCCATATTTACTGTGAGAAGTGGAATCAAAATGCAGGGCAGAAAGCTCTAAAAAGCTTGTAGTTGAACCAGGAAAGAAGTACATATAAAGTTCAAGGCAAGAAGGGTACGCTTGCTGAAAAAAACTAGCACCATTAAAAAGAAAAAAGAAAGTAGCTGGAGGCATCTCAGGAACCTGCAAGACTCTGTCCATCCCAGGCTAAACCTCTGTGTTCAACCATCAAGATACCGAAGAGGCCACTGTGATCCACTTATCCACTGGATAAGCTCAAAATAGTGCCAGACCTTGTCACCATCCAAGTGACGCTAGTGTTGCAGGCATACAGAATTTAAGACTTTTGGAGCCATGTCCACTGAGATTCCAAAGGTGTCCTGAGAGGTTGTACAGACAGGACTGGCGTTCTGTACAGTCCAAGAGCATGATGTATAAAGTGGTGAGAGTAAAGCCAATGCTATCTATGGCTTCAATTTAAAAACAACCAAAATATTTATTTTATTTTTATTTGTATGTGTGTGTGTAAGTATACTACATGCATACAGTTGTTGGTAGAGGCCAGAAAAGGCCCTCTGATCCCTGAAGCTGAAGTTACAGGTATTCATGAGTCACAAATGTGAGAGCTGGAAATCAAATTCAGCTCCTCTGCAAGATCAGCAAGTGCTCTTGTCCCCTGAGCTACCTCTCCAGGGCCCCATGGTTTATATTTTAAATGTCCCCTAAAGATCATGCACTACAAGCCCTGGTTCAGCTCGTGGAACCTTCAGGAGCTTTAGGTGTGATGGAAGTCAAGTCACTGGGAACATTTCCTTGAAGAAATAAATAATAGGGATAGTCCAGGGAGTCCCTGCCTAGAGGGATTGCTCCTGGCCTTTTCTCTTGTCTTTGCTTTCTGGAAGCAATAAGATAAGCAGCCTCTGTCACCACATGCTTCTGCCAATGAGGTACTATGCCACCAGAAGCCCAAAGGACTGTGGTCAAGTGATTATGGACTGAACTTCTCAAACTGTGAGCCAAAATTTATCTTTCCTCTTCTTAGTGATAGAAAGATGGCTGAAAACAGGGATGGGACCAACCTAGCAGGTCTGCCCACAATTCACAGTTCTTTTTACTCCTGGACAGATGGCTGGCTCCTATTCAGGAAGGACAACTTGAGCGGTACAGCAAAGAATTAAGTCAGGCACACAGGAGCCTTTACCTAGCCAATTTGCCTTCTCGGTAAGTCCTGCCCCACGGGTGTCGATGTTTCTGTAGAGGCCACACATCTGGAAGCCACAGTGTGATGGATCCCTCCATCATGTCTCCATCAGCACACGCTGGTTCTGTTTCTCGACAGTAGTAGCACTTCCCATAGAAACATGTATTGTTCCCTGCAGGGCAGAAAGGAGTCAGATATACTTAAGGAAGAAAATTAAGAACCCAAATTCTCCCCCAAACAAGATCAAACAGCTAAGTAAACAGACAACACGAAAATTAAAATCCAGATGTTAGTCCATTTCATGCATGTTTTCCTATATAGGTAAAAAGAGCAGACAGCATAAAACAATCTCCAATGAATGAAACGCTATATACTAGAAAGCATATCTTCCTGTGTCTCCTTCTACCCAGCCTCTCTCCCAGAAGTGAGCCTCCATCACAGATTTGTTCTCAACTCAAAAGAATTAATGGAAACAATGTCTTCGTGTTCTTTATCAAAGCTGAGGTTTTGGCCAAAGTACCCAGAGGAGAGAGTCTGGTCACATATGGGGGAGCAGGAACAGGTAGGCAAATACACTGAGGATAATGGGAACTAGGTTCCTCACAGATGGAGAAGGAAGAAAAGATGGTCAGAGTAAACCCTGCCATGAATTAGAATCAGATACTAGTTTTAATACTCACCCAGAGATAATGGCACAGATGTGTGTATGTGCATTTGTGCCTGTGTATATTAACCTGTATTTCCTACTATGCCCTTCCACAGAACCTAGAAACAATGAGATCCAGGACTTATTTAAACATTGGTCCCCTGTTCTTCTCCCTTTCTTCTTGTGGTGATAGGGCCTCATATATACCAGGCAAGTACTCTAGCACTGATGTATATACCCAGTCCTCGTTTTGAGGCAGGCCTTGAACTTACAAGGCTTCCTGCCTCAACCCCACAAACACCTGGAATTAAAGCTTATACTACAAGACCCAGCTTCATCTATCACTTTCTAAAGACCATTTTGATACTATAGTAAAGGAGGGGGGCACTCATTGAACAAGTAGCTGCCTCCAGGGCTGAGTCAGGGAAGATACTGATGTGTCTGGACTATACTGACATCACCAGCTGTAAGGAAGGGCTCAGAGAATGACACCATTCCAAGGACATGAAGCTCTTTCTCTTTGCTCTTATTTTAGGATCATTTTCACAGTTCTTTACTCCTTATGACATTTAAAATAGTCTTTGTCTATTTCTACTCTAAAATGTTAGTATTTTCAATGTCATCAAGTTAAATTTATAATCTTAAAGTTGTTGGGTAGTGATAGTGCATGCCTTTAATCCCAGCACAAGAGCCAAAGGCAGGTGTTTCTCTGAGTTCCAGGCCAGCCTGGTCTACAGAGTGAGTTTCAGGACAGTCAAGGATACAAAGAGAAACTCAGTAGAGAGAGAGAGAGAGAGAGAGAGAGAGAGAGAGAGAGAGAGAGAGAGAGAGAGAGAGAGAGATATTAAGGTAGAGGGTGATATAACAGCTTTGGGGGTGTGCTATAGTTTATTAGGTTCTGTGTAGTACATACTTTGCTGGACCTGGGAAATAAAAGCAAGTGGAGAGAAGTAGATCTCTAGGCTTTGCTAGGAAGCCAGCCCAGTTGGGGAGCTCCGTGTCAGGGAAAGACTGTGTAGTTGTGGGATAATGCTCTTACACACTGTAAAGATGTACTTGTACTGATTTAACAAAACACTGACTGGCCAGCAGACAGACAGAAAGTATAGGCAGGTGACCAGATTAGAGGAAAGGCAGAAATGCAGTTGCAAGCCAGACACAGAGGAAGTAAGACGAGAATGCCTTACGGAGCAAAGGTCCCAAGCTGCATGGCTAACCATAGATAAGAATTATGGGTTAAAAAAAAGAATTATGGGGCCGGGCGGTGGTGGCGCGCGCCTTTAATCCCAGCACTCGGGAGGCAGAGGCAGGCGGATCTCTGTGAGTTCGAGACCAGCCTGGTCTACAGAGCTAGTTCCAGGACAGGCTCCAAAGCCACAGAGAAACCCTGTCTCGAAAAACCAAAAAAAATAAGCCTGAGCAATAGGTCAAACAGTTTATAATTAATATAAGCTTCTGTGTGTTAATTTGGGACTAAACGGCTGTTGGAACCAGATGGGACAGAAATTTCCATCTACACCCTGTCTCAAAAACAACACAAGGAAGATATGCCTGAGAAACAGCAGCCAAGCTGCCCTCTAGCCTCCACAAACACATGTGCACACAAAAGATAGTTGACAGAAAATACAAATGGCTCTTAAACAAATGAACAGATGTTACATATGAAACAAACAAAAAAACCCAAAAAGTTTCAGGATACATTATTATTATTGATGTTTTTGTTTTGAGACAGGGCTTCTCTGTGGTAGTCCTGGAACTTACTTTGTAGACCAGGCTGACCTCAAAACTCAATAGAACCACCCGCCTCTGCCTCCTGAGTGCTGGGATTAAAAGTGTACACCACCCTTGCCTGGCTCAGGCTGCATTATTAATGATAGTGCAGGGGGTGGGGCACAACTCTCATATATTGCTACAGGTAAGGTAAATTAATTGTCTATGAGAGTAATGTGACTATATTCACTAAAATTCAAGCTGCACATACAACCTAGTCAGTGCTCTCATCAGCTACAGTCCCAGCCCCTGAAACAGAAGCTATTTCAGTAAGAAGCTGCATGATGCTGAGCATGTGATTACAGTCTCCAAGCATGCTCGTTCCTCCACTGTCAGATGGTGAACAGGAAACATGCCTATGTCAATGCTTAGACAATCAAAACAGCATCTATCACTCTGAATAATAATGACTAACTGCCTTCCTGTCTTCCGTGTCTCCATTACACTCGGTGAGCCCAGCCTCTGACCACTTCCTGGACATGCTCGACTCTGGAAACTGCTTTTCTGACCACTGAAGTTTTCCTCACTCTGCTTGGGTGAGCTATCAGAACTAGGTTTCCATCTCGGCCTTTTCTCTGTTAGCATTACTTCTTTCTGCACAGTAATCTTATCCACACACCCTTAGTTAACTGCTTCTGTATTCACTCGATTATCCAATCTAGAAATGTGGAGTCATTCCTAAGTTTTCCTTTCCTCCCTGCTTATTGCTCCTCCGACTGAGACGTTCATCTCGCTGTTCATATTCCAGTTCACCACTGTACCTCATCCTTATCCTAGTTCTGTCTCTTGAAACCACTTCTACAGTCCGCCAGGGCTCTCGTCTTCTCCCCATCACTAGTCACTCTCTACAATACTGTCGAAATTAGCTTTCTAAATTCAGATATGATTACTTCATGTTCTGAATCTCTAAACAGATTCCCAATGCCCAAGGGAAGTCTCGACCCGAGCATGATGCCTAGGCCCTTCAGTGACCCTGTTCTGACTACTTTCTCTCCTCAGTGCTGAACCCATACACACCTTCCCCTGAGTTCATCCTCCTCCTGTATTCCTAATCCCCTTGTCCATCTTCTGTCCTAGTCTAGATCAATGTTATCTCAGGGGCTAGTGGAGCGAACTGGATAGAAATGAAATTACAACTTTATTTTCACTAACCTCTATCTGAAATTTAGCATTTCAATGAATTATGACAATAGAAACCATAACATTAGAATTTCCTGCCACCTTGTCTAAAAGAATCAGTTTTCCATATTGTATTATATTGTAGATTTTTTTCTTAGATAGGCATTGCTTCACCTCATTTTCAAATATAATCCTATTCATTCTAGTAAAAAGCCAGATAAAGTTCATTTTCATTTTTCAATGTCTGTTTCAATATTTATGCCATGTAGCAGAGCACTGAATCAACAAAAAAGTCACTACTACGAGGCCAAGACAAGAGAACACAGAACCTCTAAATTCTTCCTGTTTTACTGTGCTCCCAATGAGAACAAGACTGAGGAGATCCCCTGCATCACAGTAGGATAATGGGAACCAGGGCCAGGGGAGCCATACCTAGGTCCATGATTTATAAACTAATCCTTGGAGGAAGAGCAGTGCCCAAATGCAGTGTGTGTATATGTTTATTCAGAGGGGGCACACACATGGAAACAAGAATATCGAAAGCTGTAACATGACTAGTAAAAACCCAGAGACAGATATTGGGGTTCAACCTGAAGATCAGAAAAGCAAAACAGTCAGCCACTGGCTCTTACCTCTACCTCAGACCAAAATGGTGATCTTGGAATCTCAGAATGAGACTGTGTGTGAGAGCTGTCTCCTCCCGTTTTATAGTCCTCTCTAGGGCTGGGATTAATGGCGTGCATAACTGCCGCCCGGTTTCTATGGCAAAACAGTGTGGCTACTGGGATTAAAGGTGTGTGTCACCACTGCCTGGTATGTAAAAGACTGACCAGCAGGGAGGGCTGTTTTACTCTCTAATCTTCAGGCAAGCTTTATTTATTAACATACAAATGAAATATCACTACAGAATGCCTTCCCCAATTGCTTTCCACCTTACTTTTTAAGACTGGGTCTCTCACTGCACCTGGAGCATAAAACCAATTTGATTACACTGGGTGAGTAATTAGCTCCAAGGATCTGCCTGTCTCCGTTTTCACAGCATTGGAATTACAGGTGCCCCTTCCATATCTGGATTTTTACACGAGTATGGGGATCCAAACTCAGGTCCTCAAGTTTGCATAGCAAGCACTTTACTGGTTAAGCCATCTCCTAGCCTCTGGCTTCCCCACTTCCCGGAAAATTAACCACTGGGCAGTGGCTACATAAGCCTTTAATCTCAGTACTTGGGAGGCAGAGGCAGGTGGATCTCTCGTTAGTTCAAGGCCAGCCTGGTCTACAGAGTGAGTTCTAGGACAGCCAGGACTATTATACAGAGAAACCCTGTCTCAGAAAAAAAACAAGCCAAACCAACCAAGCCAAACCAACCAAACCAAACCAAAACCAGGACAATGATATGCAGACAGTATCAATTTAGGACAAATCTTGCATTTGAGACTTAGTTAGAAGATCAAGCGAAACAGTTACCACTTTCACTATTGGTAAATGACTCACTTCTTTAAGAAGTGTATATTAGGGAAAAATTCTCATTTCCCATTCTCACCATTAGACCTAATTCCTACACTAACAAGAAAGCAGGCTTTCACACTCTGTGAGTTCTTTAAGTATGAAAGAGATGCACCTAGGTTGTTCAATAGTGCCCATTATCTAACTTGCTGGTCATGCCCCTATCTAAACATCCTCCATCATCTCTTACCTACAGTTAGGAAGGTGCTCAGCAGCTGCTCCGTGGCCACAGGCTTGATCTCCGTCCTCAGATTAACATATCTGCCAACCACCAAGGGAGCTCGGCGGAAACCCAGAATCCTAGTTTTGAAGGTTTAGAGAGAAGAGAGAAATCTTTGGGGAGGTATTTTAAGTTAAGTCTCAAAACTCATGGTCAATCCCATTAAAGATGTAAAGTTTTGGAGGTGATAGGTAGGTGAGCTAACCTCGGTTTTTAGAGGTACATATGTTCATGAGTTTGTCAAGATGGACATTATTCAACAGTTCAGCAAAAAAAGTAGTGGGCCAATTAGGCAAAACGTTAAACTGTTACGCCTAGGGGATGGGAAATGGAGCTTATCACAGTACCCTGTTTCTGCCAGAAACTTTTCATAATCAGAACTAGAAATACATGCTAACAACGCATTAGAAAATACCATGCTTAAACTCAAAATGAGTTCAAAGCTTTGATAAAACTTTGACAAACTGCAAAGTGACCAAAACAACACACCTAAAGGACAGTTTAAATAAGGACATATTTGGAGGTCTCTAACACTAGAAAATACTTACTTTGTTTTTATTTTCTTTGTTGTTTTTTGCTTTGTTTAGTTTTTTCTACTTTTATTCTTTTTGGATTCCACATCATGCATCCTGTCCCACTCAATTCCCTGTCCCCCTTACCTACCTTTCTGCCCCTGCAACTTTCCTCCAAAATTTAAAAGAAAAAACCAAACACCAGACAAACCAAACAAAGAAAGGAGAAAGATCTCATTGTGAAAGCTGTAGTGTGGCCTGTTGATTAACACCATTAACCCTTTAGTCCTTTCACCTTTACTTGCAAGTGTTCACTGCAATGAGTTGCTCTGGTTCAAGGTCTCTGGGCTCTTACTAGGGTTCCTCTTGGATATTCTGTTATCCTGTGTCTTGGGGATCCTGTAGTTTTGGATCTGTAGGTTCATCCCCTTCTGCTACTCCAATAGATCCTAGATGAGGTGGATGTTGAGGTGGGCCCTCAGGGCTGGCTCATCAGTATCTTTAAGTCCTAACAACAGGGTTAGCTCTACTGTGCTGCAGCTGGTAAGGGACAAGTATAGTTTTCCACCTCTCATGATCACAGCTGGCCCTCTCACCCACCATGGGTAGCAGGAGTCAGAAAGGGAGGTCATTTTTCTCTCACCTATGCCACCACATGGTAGACAAGGGGGGATGGGGTCAACTCTGCTGTTCTCATGCCCCAGAGCCAGCTCACTAGTATCCCTGACAACTGGATTAGCTCTAGTGCACTGCCCAGGTGAAGTGCATGCCCAAGGGTTGTAGCCTTTGGTGGCAACAAGGGCCTGGCAGTGCTAGGACCACAGACCCAGACATGGTCCTAGGCCACAGGCTAGGCGCAGATGTCATTATGGTCCTAAGTGACAGCCCAGACCGCTGGCACTAACATGGCCTTTAATGGTCTCAGGAGCTATGGACATCAGCTCAGACCCTGGCTGCTGTAGGGCCACAGACCCAGACATGGCCCTCAGTAGTAGCCCTGGCCTGGATGATACCCTGGTCCCAGTCAACAGTACTGGCCACTCAACTCAGCATGACCTGATGGCAGCACAGCCCTTGGACACCAACACAGTCACAGGTTGTGACCTAGACCTTGGAAATCTATGTGGCCTTTGGTGGTACCATGCGCCATCAACAGAGCCTGGCTGTGGTAGGACCACAGACCCAGGCATGACCCTCAGCAGCAGCCTGGGTCCGAATGTCACCATGGGCTCAGGTTGCAGAGCAGGCTACCCAGATCGGCATGGCCTTTGGACACTTACCTGGCCCCCAGACCATAGGCCTCTGCATGGCCTTCAGTGATGACAGGAGCCACAGACATCAAGTCATGGCTCCTTAGCTGCTTCAGGGCCTCAGACCAAGATTGGCCCTTGGCAATAGCCAGGCTGGGCATCACTTTGGACTCAGGTGGCAAGCAGGTTATTCCCATTAGCCTGTTCCTCACCACAGTTGCTTCTTCAGACCTGCCTCTCTCCCCAACCTATGAACCACTCCACCATTCTCTTTTCCACCTCCCCCACCTGTACTACTTTACCATCACAGTGTCTGACTGTCCCGTACCATAGGCTCCGGGCAGCACTTGGTTGAATTGTACCCCAGCCATATGTATGGCACAACATGGAGCTGTTGTTGTATCATGGTCTGATGCTAGAGTCCAGGCAGCTCTTGGTTGAGTCCTCTCCCTGCCAGTCACATGGCATACCAGGGTACTCTGTTGCTTTTTGAGACAGAGTCTTACTATGCAACCTTGGCTGACCTAGAACCACTAGGTAGACCAATGTGGCTTCAAACTCAGAGAGCCTTTGATTTCCAAGAGTTGGGACTAAAGTTGTACACCACCACACCTATTACTTCCTTTTAAAATGACATTTTTCTGGTCAAAAACAAAAACAAAAACAAAAAAGAAACAAAAAACATCCCCTAAAGAAAATTTAGAGGTTCAGAACTTGAAACTAAGATCATCCTAATTCTCAAGCCTAGCAACTGACATTTTGTAATAGCATTTTCTCTCATAGTTGCATAAACACACAGGTATGTATAAACATCACATGCATTTGGCTCATCTTCTTTCTTTCTAAACAGGATCTCACTGTGGCCCAGGCTACCTGTGAATTCAAGGCAATTCTCTTGTCTCAGCCTCTCAAGGGCTCGGATTACAGGAATAAGCCATCACACCTGGCTTAATAGTAACCATACGTATATAGAGAAAACTTCACTACTTAACAAACTAATCTTATGAAAGGATGTATTTTGCCAATAATGGGGGGAGGGGGTAACAAAATAAAATAATGATATATTGCTCTACATATATTACACTGATGAAATTTACTATGCTGGGTATAGTGATCCAGAAGTGAGGAAGTAAGGCTCTTTTCAGGTTTGGACAGTCTAATTCTAGTCTGCCGTTAAATGAGGAGTTGGACGTATCCAACCCTGCATGTAGTTCCTTTAAAAGACTGCAAATATAAATAGTACTAAAAACACTCATTTAATTTTTCCCTATCTAGAGTTACTAAGTTCTTATCAAGTTTTTCTACCAAAAAATGCTAGTACAATACGTATCTATATAATTTTTTTCTTTTTCATTTTCATAGTACTTCCTAGAAAGATCTTAGATATATGCACTAAAAGATAGTTATTCATTCAAACGCTATGAACAGTAAGCTTTCTGATACAAAACATTAACAATGCTTTTAGCAGCATATGAATTCAATATATTACTAACATTAAAACATTATCCTTAAAAAAAAAACTTTGCATTTCAGCAGGTGAAAACAGTGAGCTATGGCTTCAAAGGGATTTTTTTTTTAAGATTTATTTATTGCGTATACAGTATTCTCAGTATTCTGCTTGTATGTATTCCTGCAAGACAGACGAGGGCACCAGATCTCATTACAGATGGTTGTGAGCCTCCATGTGGTTGCTGGGAATTGAACTCAGTACCTTTGGAAGAGCAAGCAGTGCTCTTAACCACTGAGCCATCTTTCCAGCCCTTCAAAGGGATTTTTTTTTTTCGGATTTTCGAGACAGGGTTTCTCTGTAGCTCTTTGGTTCCTGTCCTGGAACTAGCTCTTGTAGACCAGGCTGGCCTTGAACTCACAGAGATCCGCCTGCCTCTGCCTCCCGGGTGCTGGGATTAAAGGTGTGCACCACCACCACCCAGCCTTCAAAGGGATTTTTAAATATTGCTAGTGACAAGAAAACTGTCTCATATTTATTAGCACTAGTAACTGCAATTATTTTCTTAACTACTTACAGTATTTATTTATCCATTTTAGTCTTTTTTAGACAGTAGCCTAGGCTATTCTCAAACTCCTGGTTCTCCTCCCGTAGCTGTCTAACCTCAGGAATTACAGGAGTGCACCACATGTTCAATTCTGCTTGTTCTTTTTTAAAATACTTTATTTTACTTTATATGTATGGATGTTTTACCTGCATGTATGTACACAATTTGCATGCCTGCTGGATTTCCTGAAACTGGGAATGGTTGTATGGGAGCTGGGAATCGAACCCAGGTCCTCAGGAGGAGCAACAAATACTCTTAACTACAAAGCTCCAGCCCTAGTCTTCTGCGTTGGTGAGGACCATATTCCACTACAATGTGTGTGTGAAAAAATAGGAGAAATTCTTCCTAGTCCAGAAAAAGACAAAAATTTGCCTTTTCTGATTTCCTTGTATGCTTTTTAAAAGCTTCTTTTTCTTCTGTTGTCAATTCATGGGGTTTCCTATAGGCAAATGCTCTACCTGAGTCACCTCCTGCCCAAGCCCACAATCATGTCTTGTAGTGTTTGTCACCATGGCAGACTGAAAGAGTACCTGTGAGTAGGAACTGGGATGCCAGAGCGTGGCTAATGGGTGCCTGTAAAAGCAGTATCACTCTTTCTAGAGGGCCCTGTATCCTGTTTTCTGAGACAACATCTTGCTATGCAGAGGTTGGTTTAATCTCACTATGTACCCAAACCAGTCTTGAACTCCCAGTCTTCATGTCTTTGTCTCCTCTGTATAGCGAGTATAGGTGTGTGTCACAACTAAGTGCTGGTTATATATGATAATTCATGGTGATTTTGTTGTTTCTTTTGAAGGTGTATATATTTTGTATAAAAATATCAAAACACATTCTAAATTCCATGTATGTATTTTCAGGTATGGGGATAAGTCAGTATTCCTTACAACAGAAACAAAACAGCAAGGCTAGGAGGCCCAATTAACGACCAATTTAATACAGAGATTTGAACTCAAACTTCTGATTTCACCCTGACATTTTATTTATTTATTAATATCTTCAACCATGATGACATAAAGCATGCCAAGAACGAAGTGAAGTAATAGGAAGTAAAATCTGGGATTAAAAATATTTAACCCTGTTGGCTGGACAGAAGGCTCTGGCTAGGAACACCTACTGTTCTAGATTTGGTTCCCAACATCCCCACAGCAGCCCATAACCATCTGTAACTCCAGTTCCTGGGACGTCAATGCCCTCTTCTGGCCTCACTGGGCACTAGATACACATGTGATGCACAGACATATATGCAAGCAAAACACTCATACACACACACACACACACACACACACACACAAAATGTCTTAAAGATTTATTGCAGTTTTCTGACAGCACCCAAATTTTAGGTTTTCACAATGGCACTAATTCATAAGTTATAAGCAGGGAACACGCCCACATTATTGCTACATCAATTTCCATTTCACATACCTACCACAGTTCCCCCACCCTCCCCTCTTCCCGTTCCCCCCATCACTCACTTCTTGAGGAAGTACACAAGTTCTCTCTGAAAGAGATGACGAAAAGGAAATGTAAGAGATTACACAAACCTGTCCAAGTGGAAGGCTGCCACCTCTGCATTGTGTCTGTCATAACCAGCGTAGGGCTCCCCTTCTACCACATAGTCTCTGCTGTAGCTGCAAAGGGAAAGGGAAGCACAGATACAGACATGAGTCCATAAGTGCTGGGAGTGACAGCACACGGTAGAAACACTTCAGCAGGCCTGACCTGCTCCACTCCGTTCTGTCAACCCTGAGGACCAGGTGTTAACACAAACGGCTGGCAGATGAAGAGTGAGTCTAGGCGAAAACCTAACACTGTTGTTACCTCAGCAGTCATCCTTTGAATAAAATATGGATGACATTACATTTACTTCTAAACATGTCTCCTAAACATGTAGTGGGGTTTTTGTTTGTTTTTGTTTTATTTTTTGGTTTTTCAAGACTGGGTTTCTGTGTGATTCTCCAGGCTGGCCTCGAACTCTGAAATCTGCCTGCCTCTGCCTCCCCCGTGCTGGGGTTAAAGGCATGTGCCACTACCACCCAGCCAGTGTAGTTTTAGCACAACAACCACAAGATGAGTTTCTGAAAAGTAAGAATCATCTTTGTATTTCTATCAGCTTAATAAATGTCTTTAAAAATGCTTACTAATGTAACTGAAAAACCAAAGAATGCCTTTGCTTACCAGAATGCCTACTATAAGAACTATAGAAGTCTAAATTTCTTGGGGAAGCTCTACCTGACATCTCAGTTTTGTTAAAGAGAAGGCAAAGGTGCATCTGAAAACAGCAGTCTGAATAACCATCCCTGTTCTCTTTCCAAGTTTATCCAGGACTGGTAGTGATAGGACAGCCTTGAGCAAAACCTTTCTGTTCTGTCTCTAGAGATCCCTCATCTATCTGTAAGACCAGGGACTGCACTGAAGGAAATCCTAAGGTCTCTTTTATCTCAAACAGCATTCTGATGACTTTATGCCACATGCATTACATTTTTTTTTTTTTTTAGGTTTTTTGAGACAGGATTTCTCTGTGTAGCCCTGGCCACCCTGGAACACACAGAAGTCAGCCTGCCTCTGCTTCCTGAATGCTGGGAATAAAGGTGTGTGCTACCACCACTGCCCAGCTCAACGAGTCATATTTATTTATTTATTTATTTATTTATTTATTTATTTATTTATTTATTTATTTTTGTTTTTTAGATTTATTATGTATACAGTGTCTGCATGTACACCTGCAGGGCAGAAGATGGTACCAGATCTCATTATATGGATGGTTGTGAGCCTCCATGTGGTTGCTGGGAATTGAACTCAGAACCTTTGGAAGGGCAGGCAGTGCTCTTAACCGATGAGCCATCTCTCCAGCCCCAACGAGTCATTTTTAAAGACACAATTTAAACTTGTTAACTGGGAAGGAAAAACTATTGAACTCACCTGCACTCCTGAACCAAAGAGGACCTATAGGGTTTTGGAAGGAATCTGTGAAAGAGAAGCTGAAACTCAAGTGAAGAGCAGTCCCACTGAACATAGGATTTCTGACGCTGAAACAGCAATCATTGAGTGGAAAATGGAACTATAAAGGGTAATGACCTTCAATGACCTTAGAATACAAAGTGAAACACATTTTCAAGGCAAATGATAAAGAAGACCTATGAGAAGGCAATTGTGCATCTTGGTGGCATCAGTTTCTTCTCAGCCTGATCCACATGCCATGCATTAAAGTTCCAAGTACAAGTCATTACTTGTACAAGTACAAGGCTTCTTAGGTTTATACAGGCTGGCTTTAAATTGTCATTTTAAAAATACCACTCAGCAGGAGCTGACACCTAACAAGCACTTCTCCTTCTACCACCGGTGTAGGTGCCATACAGCTGGGGAAACAGTCCTTGAATACATTTCAGGACCTCGGCATAGTCCAGTACTCCCCCTGCTGATGCATTACGGACCTTTCCAATATAGCCAAAGGCTGCTTAGAGTGAAGTGCATGAACCTAGAGGCATCTAGGAACTCTGAGGGTAAACGAGAGCAAAGAGGTAGAAGAGTCAAAGTGAAGGAACCATACTGGAGTCAGGTCAGAATCTGTGCTGTTCATTTGCGTGTTTTGTGTAATATACACAAATTTGTATGTTTATGCATATGTGTGTACATGTCCGTGGAGGCTAGAAGATGAATGGGGTATCAGTTCTTTTTTTTTTAAAGATTTATTTATTTATTATGTATACAACATTCTACCTCCATGTATGTTCACATGCCAGAGGAGGGCGCCAGATCTCATTACAGATGGTTGTGAGCCACCATGTGGTTGCTGGGAAATTGAACTCAGGACCTCTGGAAAAGCAGCTGGTGCTCTTAACCACTGAGCCATCTCTCTAGCCCCAGGGTATCAGTTCTTAAGCACAACCTAACTTCTTTTTCTTTTCTTTTTAACTTTTATTTATCTATGTATTTTATTTGTGAGTGCTCTATCTGCATGTATGCCTGCAGGCCAGAAGAGGGCATCAGACCCCACGTGGTTGCTGGGAATTGAACTCAGGACCTCTAGAAAGGCAGTCAGTGCTCTTAAGTGCTGAGCCATCTCTCCAGTCACCATCTAACTTTTTTTTAAATCATTTTTTTGTTGACATAGAACTTATTGGTTGGTCACTGGGCCCTAGGGATCCCCCTAACTCTGCTTCCCCAGTACTAAGTTTACACCCCAGTACTAAGATCTCGATCTCTCTCTCTCTCTCTCTCTCTCTCTCTCTCTCTCTCTCTCCCTCCCTCCCTCCCTCCCTCTCTCTCTCTCTCACACACAAACACACACACACACACACACACACACACACACACACACACACACACACACACGCTTGCCTGTATGAGTGTGTGTGGAAGCCAGAGGCTGATGCAGGGATATCTTTCTTCTATTGTGTCCTACCTTATTATTTTTGAGACACAGTCTCTTACTGAACCTGAAGCTTACTGCTTTACCTAGTGTGGCAGTTTGAGTAAGAATGGTCCCCACAGACTCAGGGAGTGGTACTATTGGAAAGGATTATAAGGATTAGAAGGTGTGGCCTTGTTGAAGTCAGTATGGCCTTACTGCGGGAAGTATGCCACTGAGGGTGGGCTTTGACATTTCAAAAGCCCAGGCCAGGACCTGTCTGTCTCTCTGTTTCCCTCTGCTTGTGAATTGGGATGTAACACTTAGCTACTTCTCCAGCACCATGCCTGCCTGACTGACACCATGTTCTCTGCCAGTCTCTGAGACTGTAAGCAAGCTCCCAAATAAAAGCTTTTTTTTTTTTAAAGAGTTGCTTTGGTCATGGTGTCTCTTCACAGTTGTAAAACACTGACGAAAACGGCTAGTCTGAGCTAGCAAGCCCTGGGGAGCCACCTGTCCCTACCCCCACAGTACCAGGATTGCTGTCACCACTCTTGGCTTTCCATGCAGATGCTAGGGACCCAGCTCAGGCTCTCACGCTTGCAGAGCAAGCACTTTACCCACTGAACCCCACCCCACCCTACTGATGTTCTCTATGTGGATTTTGAGAATCAAACTTAACAATTGAGTCATCTTCCAAGCCCCAACGTCTGAATTCTTTGCTCATGTTTTAACTGTGAAATATGAAAAGTTGGGATTCTGAATCTCATTTTCCTCACCTGTAATCTTCAAAGGCCCTTTTAGTATGCACTAAGATCATTCATTCACGTTGATCTAACCTTAGGTTCCTGCTTTATGTCCTTTTCCAATATAACTGCAGCTATCGCCTGTAAAAATCAATCTACTTCTAGAATGGATACACTAAATTGGGGGAGGAGGAGGACTAATGCAGTAAAAATATAAACCATGGTATTACACTGTAACCTTACATATGTCACCTACCTGAACGTAACTCCCAACCCTGAAAGGAGGGCATGAACCCGCCTCCAGGAAGCTAAGACCACAGAGGAGAGTAAAGAAAGGTGTATGTCTTGACTAAGATTCTCCTCGAAACAAGGAATGATCCATCTTAAGTCACTGCAGAGCAGCAGAATTCATACAGTAACCACCAATAAAATCACTCCTATCCTAGTGAAGGACAGCCGAGTCTGCGCAGCTACTCGCTGTGCAGGGCTGTGTAGCTTTTGAGTGCCTAGAAGTCAGAATAGCACTCTGTTGAGTGTTCAAGGTCTGGAATGAGTTTCTGTGAGTACCTCAACCCACACCCATTCTCGCTTATATGTGACAAGGTCTGGAGTCAGAACACACACCAGTGTGTGCAGTGACTGAAGGAGGCAACACTTCCACCTGAGTTGTACACAGTGCTGGGTAGAAGAGACTGCTCTGGGGCTGGGGTAGGAAAGAGTTGGGCTCTGCCAAGCCTGAAATAAAGACTGAAGGGAGAATAAGGCTGAGTGAGCACAGGCAGAAGGCCAGACTTTGGGGTCCTCTGTTATTAGGCTGTAGAGGATGGACTGTCCATGGCACATAAAACTGAGGTGCACAGAGATACCTGAGGGGGCCAGGCATAGTGGCACAGGCCTTTAATCCAGGCACCGGGGGCAAAAGCAGGCAGATCTCTGAGTTTAAGGCCTCCCTGATCTACATAACAAGTTCTAGACCCTGTCTAGGAGGGGAAGGAGAATGGATGCCATTCAGGATCTGGAAGAGGAGGGTGTAGGGTGGTGGTACAGAGCAGTAACAGACAGGAGATGAAGCAAGAGTGACGAGGACTATGCTCTGGACACCTCTCCTCCTCATCAGTCTGACTGTTCTGCCCGCCGTTATACCTTCCTTGAACACCTCAGGCACCTCTGCAAAACCTATGGTCCACAGCTGTCAGGAATATCTATCTTTCGACATACTTAATCCCGTATCACCCTTTATTCTTTAGTGAACAAATAGTGGACATGGATCACTTAAACATGCGTAGTCATAATTAATTTCTTTCCATAGAATTTTTCATCCCCTAATACTCTGTTATTAATCCCTTAAACTACAAACCATGAGATTAAGAACTACACTTCAAAACCGAATTAGTGAACTGATGAGATGGCTCAGCAGGTCAAAGCACCTGCCACCAAGCCCGATGACACGAGTTGTTCCTGGGACCCACATGGTGGAAGGAGAAAACTGATTTCTCTGTTGTCCTCTGACTTCCAAACACACGTGGCACATATGTGTCCACATGTGTATATACATACACACACCAAAAGAAAAAACCCTAAGTTAATCATTTTTTGTTTTCATGATAGGTGCTTTACATCACCAAGTAAACAGCTTGTATTTGGTAGAATACAAGCCATTAAAAACTCTGATGGTCAAACTCCAGCTGTACTAAATTACTATGAGGCAACTTTGTCAAGCCAGTTTCTTATTGTGGAAACAGAGACTGAACTGACCCAGGCGTTCAAAGTATTTTGTGTAATGCCTGGCAAATGGTGTGCACTCCAGATCAGAGCTCAAGGCCCACCTCCAAAGTGCGGGGATAACAGGTTTGCAGTCACAACAGCTCGCCTGAATTTTGTTTGGTTTTTTGAGACAGGGTCTTTCTATACAGTTTGGCTGTCCTGGAAATTACTCTGTAGACCAGGCTGGCCTCAAATTCACAGATTCCCCTGCCTCTGCCTCCTGAATGTTAGGATTAAAGGCATGTGCCAACACACCTGGATTCACTGCCATTTTTAACTTGCCAATTTTTATTGACTCCTTTCATTTCTGGGATTATAAATGGTTCCATATGCCAGCTGTTTTTTTTAAATCTGTTGATAAATGTGTAATAAGGGAATTACATTTTATACATCTTCCCCACACATTAACTGCCTCTACTCTAGCAAGAAATGTAAAGGTAAGATTCTCTACAAAGTTTCACTGAGAGACTCTGAAACTATGTGCTGCTGACTAACTCTGGCAAGAGAATGCAAATCATCATGCTGTTTCACTCACAGAAAACTATGAGAACAGCAGGACCCGTGGGTGTCAGGGGTTCAAGGGCAGAGAGGGAAGGGTGGAGCTCAGAGTACTTTTAGGGCTGAGAACCACAAGATATTACAGTGATGGATAGATATTTGCCTAAATCCACAGAATATATCCCTAAAGAGTGAACCTTAATATAAACTATGGATGTTTTTCTTTTTATTTTGGTTTCTGTTTTTTCAAAATTGGGTTTCACTATGCAGCTCTGGCTGTCCTGGAACTACTATGTATACAGGCTGGCTTCGAATTCTGAGATCTATCTGCCTCCGACTCCCAAATGATTAAAGGTGTATGCTGCTATGCTCAGCCAAACAATGGACTTTAATTAACATACTATTATTGGGTCATCAATTGGATTAACAACCAACAGTAATAATAGAAAAAAAACTGGAGGGAAAGGTAATTAATGGGACTTGTTTGTATTTTTCTTAAAATGTTCCATGAACCTGAAACTGCTCAAAAAACAAAAACAAAACCCAATGAAAGCCCTAGATGAAAGTCACTGCTTCAGCACTGACAGGATGTCCCCCATTCTGAGTCTGTTCTAACCATGTAGCTCCTGATCTTTGGCTATCCAGCTTTTAATTATACTTTGGGGTGGGGTGAGGGGAAATCGACAAATTGCTTGTTTTCTACTCAATTCAATGTGTACCTCCAATACTTACCACACTGAAGGTATTTAGTACACCTTCAGTTGTTTTAGAAATCAACAGTCAGGCATGGAAGCTCAGGCCTGCATGATGCAGGAGGATCACCAAGTTGAGGTCAGCCTGAGTTATACAGTGAGACTGTCTCAAAACAAGCAACCCAACAAACTAACAACGCCTCAGAGAAATCAAAGTTCATTCTGTCCAAAAATTCAGTCGTTTGTTTATACCTTACTATATATAGCCAGGCTATCCTCTTTCTAACAATCTGTCTGCCTTACCCTCCTGAGTGCAGATTATAGGACGGAACCACCACAAGCTGGCTCTTTAAAAAGACTTAAAGGGACCAAAATGGGTTCCCATAGATTTCTTCCACTCAGAGAATCACTGCTTCTGCTGTGGGATAATGCTCTTCTACACTGTAAAGATTTGTCACTTCTATTAGTTTGATTGGCCAGTAGTTAGGCAGGAAGTATAGGTGGGGTGACCAGCCTAAGAGAATTCTGGGAAGAAGAAAGGCAGAGAGACATAGCCACAGGCCAGATGCTGAGGAAACAAAATGAAAATGCCTTACTGAGAAAAGGCCCAGGCAGGACAGAAACTTTATGTACAAGCTCGCATTTTACTGAAAAGAATAGCAAGGAGAACTCTTATACAGACCCCAAGGTGAACAAATCAACAGCCAGCCCATACCCTAGGATGAAGACTCACCGCTTAGGCTTAAAGACAACTTTCTGTCCTCCTTCAAGAATCAGCAAAGCTTTCAGCTGTGTCCCTTTATAGCCTACGTCAGCTTTAATGATCTTCTTAGTGGCCATGGCATGCATGATTGCTCCCAGCTCTGGTGTCTCTTCGGGGTACACTTCCCGGGGCACCACCCATTGGGCTGCAATCTCCCAAGGAGACTGCAGGGTGTGATCCAATTTAGGCACCAGTTCCACCCGCAAGCCAGTCATCATTCGGTGAAAAGCCCTCTGGTCCTCTCTGTTGGCTGCTGATGTATCTAAGTTGTCTATCAGGAAAACTTTGGTGAAGATAAAGATGACTAGGAGTATTGCTAACAGCACAACTCGCTGCTTTAGCTTCATGTTGGCCTCTTTCCCTTCTCCTCAACCCACTTCTTCACTGGCTTATCAAGGAGAACAGGTGGAGATGGTTAGCAAGGCGATTCCATGATTGCATATTTCTTCACCAGTGCCTCCCAATTCCTGCAGGACAAAGTACAAAACACAACATGATCAGAAATTCTGTCCTTCTACCTCCACATTTTGCAAGTCAAATATGTTACTTACCCTTTTAGTGATAGATGGCTAAAACTCAGCTTGAGAAGGCCCATTAACTAAAAATAGTGTGGGAAAGTCCTAAGAAAGATATTGCCTGGGTACATGGAAAATTCTAAAAAAAAAAAAAAAAAATTCCCGTTTTAATTAGGAAGTGGGGTCATCTAGGAGCCATTTGGCTATTATATATATATATATTTCCAAAAATTATCAAAATGAAAACAAAACACTTAACTGCGCATAGTTCTTAACTCCAAGTTTTACTGTTCAAAATCTGTAAGTGAATCCTTGTCATGTCTGATAATCTTCCCAGCTCCCATCCACACGATACCTTGGACGGCGGGTACTCCTGAGAATACCAACAAGAGTCCAGGAAAGAGGTGTTAACTCCTTTTTAAATACAAATACCCAGCAATCAGACAAGCCACAGCTGTTATTCCTGTGACTAAGCACAACACTCAGACTTGTACTCTCCTTAATCAGACCTCCACTAATTATTTTTCCTGGTAAAATGTGGATAATCAGATCTGGATGGATTAAGTAAAGAAAAACATTCCCCTATACCATCTGTCTGTTTAAGAATATGATCCGACCGCTCGTGAACCAGAGCAATACCACTGTCTTCAATGGTGAGGCACACAGCAAGGATACTAATGCCATGGACCTAAAGGAGTGCTGCTTCCAGTGTGGGCTAGTGACAGAGGGTGTCAAAACATAAAATTCAGTTTATTTGTATGCCGAGAGGTTGCTTTCCACTCCACTGGGCTTTGTTTCTTTGTTCGCTTTTTGAGACCAGGTCTCCTGTAGTTCAAGGCTGAACTCATGGTTTTCCTGCTAATAGCTCCCGAGTGCCGTGGTTATAGACATGGGCTGCAGTACCCAGCCCCACAAGGCCATTTCAAATGTGCACAAGCTTCCTCTGCTATATGCCTACAGCCTGTACTGTACAGCACGGGGACAAAATAAGTGACAAGATAATAGGGTATTGCTTCATTCTGCAACTCATTCAACAACTCAAACCACTAATCTAAGAAATAAGACCAATACAGAAAACAGAGCAAACAACTGGGCTGAGACACTCCCATCTAAATTTAAGGCTGCTTCTTTAACAACTGGAAACAACCCAAGAGCAAAATTCTGAGCAATGCCTTTCTTGAGCCAGCTGATGTGACGTTCATTTTCAACCATTCCTTCCTGTTCCTTTCATGAAGGAAGCAGAAAGTGAAAGTTAAATTCAAATCTGAATTATCCCCAGCCACCTGTTCTGCTTGATCACCATTTCTCATAACACTGTTAAGCTGGAACAAAAGCTATGTGAGTACAACTAAAAATGTAATTGTTTTTATTTAGTTGTTTCTTAAGTTAGCACACAAAGTAATAGGTTCCATTATGCTGCGATGTAATTGTGATGGTACCAGACTTGGCATGGAGCTCAGTAAGAGCAGTTCCTGGAAATTATGCACAACAGCAGTATTAGGAGAGTGGATTACAGTGTTAGCTCTAATGATACTGTTGTTTCATCCGTTAGTTCAACAATACACACTGCAGGGTGCAGTGATAAAGGAAACAGGAAAACAGCATCTTCAGCACCCCACCCCCACCTAGTCACAGATGGACAGTGGACAGTTCTGGCTAAAGGGGACAGCTACACAGGCTTTGCCTTTCTATAAAATGCACTTTGGCACTAAAGTCTGGCTAACTAGACTCTGATAATACATATCTAATGGTTGTGCATATTTTATGCAGAATAACCTTCCCTCATATTATAAAAAATAGCCCTTCCAAACCTGTTTTGCTTTACTAGCCTTATCCCCCCCCCCCCGCCCCCCTTGCAGGGAGTGTAGACACGTACCACCCCATCACATCAGGCTTGGGGTTGTTTGCCTTGCTGGGGATTAAACCCAGGGCCTTATGAATGCTAACCAAGTGCTCTAAAATTGAGCTATACACCCCACTCATATCTCTTTAAGTTTTAGAAGTCCCAAAATTTAAGGGTTTGAATCTGAAACCCAGTTTGTAAGCTTTTTCTAAGTTTTGAAATATCATTACCTTTTGAGAGGCCTCATAGAACATACTCATCATTTCAGGCCTGCAAACAATTCATCTACTCAGGTAGAGCAGAAATTTATAGAGGAAATTGAATTCTTCAATTGTTACAGTATCAATTTCATCTTTGAAGAATTACAGTGGGAGCAGATGTGGGAAAAGGAGAAGTAAGTTTTCATGTTTGTGATTGATGAGTTGCCACCTCCAGGTAAAATAAATTAAGACTGCATGCAGTATATCACTATTCTTTCTTCTTTTGAAAGGAGAGAAACTGAGATAGGGCCTCACTATGTAGTCCAGGCTGGCCTTGAACTCAAGCCATCTCAGTGTGGTGAGTGGTGGAATTACTGGCGGTATCCATATACCAGTCAAAGACTTGTTCTAGCATTGTTCTTTCCCGAAGACTTCTACTTCCATAACCCCAACTGCCAGAGCTCTGTGGTGCTCAGCACCTCCTACTGGACCCTGGAAAAAAGTTATCTGGACCTGTAGGCTTCAATAGACCCTTGATCATCCTGAGTTCTACAAATTCCTTAATAGGGCATTAAAGCCTTACTCCAAGTGGTATTAAGTGAGGCAGGCCTCACTGTCTATCTTGGCTTCCACCAGTGAACTAACTTAGCGATGCTGGTTTCCCCTTGTTGTATGTACAGTTACCTTTTGTTCCCACCATTCTTTCTCAATGTTTTTAAAATCCCTTTCTCCTCACCTCTTGTTTAAAACCTAATCCTTCCCTCACAGTCCATCTCAAGGGCATTCTAGTCCCTGTCCATCCTCTATGTTGACACCTCCCTCCTTCTGACTAGTGCATAACTACATTCTGCCTTAAATTGCCTTGCTCAGAAATATAGCTCCTTCGGAGGACCCCCCAGCTCCTTTACACTCGAGAAAGGGTGCCCGCGACCCAGCTTTCAGGCTTTTTAAATGATGATTATTAGTATCCTTTTTGATTTGAGGTAAGCAGTTTACTGCAAGCTGAATTTTTAAGATCACCTACTTCAGATATAAGATAATAAAAGCAGGGTTACTGGGTATTTTCCAAACTACCCATGAAAACCTCCCTAGTGTTCCCAGAGTAGCACTGTACGCCTGCTCTATTTCAGTCCTCACCTCCTGCTGTAAACCGCTCACAGTGCAACACTGTCCAGTTATACTATGGTCATTTGTTTTCATGTTTGTTATATGGAACAGAGCCTACTTCAAAGAACAAGTAGACTCAGGGTAATAGCATAACTCAGAAAGTGTTAAATATAAAAGAGGCAGTGTAAGTGGAATACTTGCCAAGTCTCCACACTAAAAGCTGGCATGAACCCAGAGTGCAGAGTTCTGGGAAGCAGATCTTTATAAGCAGTTTTCCTAGGAACCCTATTTCACTCCCAGCAGCCCATGTGGGGCTTGCCACACTTTCACTCTTCACACACATATACCACCACTGTGTGTGTGAGACACATCTTTGGAAGGACAAACCTTAGAATGCAAAGTGCTTCTACAAGAGCTTCACAGATTCAGAGGGAAGGAAATGTGCTATCTTAGTACAAAGTTCGAGAATCCAGTGATGATGCAATGAAGGTATACAGAGAAACGCCTATGAGGGTCTAAACCATACACTAAGGACTGTGACAACACCTAGCCCAATATTTACTGGGGGGGGGTCCTCTAAGCCACAGCTCTAGAGAGGCTCCAAGCCTCGTCAACAGCTGAGCCCCTTTAAATGGGCCCAATTCGACAACTTCACACTAATCCCAACTTTTATTCACAGCGATGAGAAATGAAAGTTTCAGTGAAAATGAACAGAAGTTTCTTTGCTTTGCGAGAATTTTACCACACAAACGAAAGCCTTGTGACTGTGAAGGGCCACAGAGCACAATTTAATATTCAGTTACATTTTGTGCAGAGGACTAGGACATGTGACACAGGGAGACTTTATTAAATAGCTAGTATGTGACCACATTTACGCATGCTCTTTTCTTGTCCCTATCCTGACTACAAACTAGAACATCCCCATTACGAAACAATCTCTTTGTAAAGCATTGGTTTCATCAAAACTGAAGATTTGGTAATTGTAAGAAAAAAATAGGATCTCAATGTAAAATTTTTACGTTTGACTATTTATTTTGAATGTATGGGCGAACACGCCCAAGACATGTATGGAAGTCAAAGGACCTCCTCATGGTTTCTGGGGACAGCCCAGATCTGAACTGAATTAAGATTTTCTTGTTGACTATTTCCACAGATAATCATCAATAGTTCCTCACACCAAAGGGTGGGGTCTGTTTTTTCTGCTCCTGATTTGAGCTGGTTTTGCAGCTTGCTTTGATCAAAAGGCTGTAGAAGTAGATGCGTCCCACTTTTGAGCCTAGGCATTGAGACACCTGGCAATTTTCCACATTCACTTTTTGGATCTAACTACTATGTTTGGTTAGACTGCCACATGAGTGACCTATATAGATAGAGGCTTTGTACGCACCCAGCTAGTCTGGTCACGCCAGGGGAAACGCCAGAAAGGTAAGTAAAGTGATCAAAGGCATTTCAGTCCCAGGTGAATTCTGAGATGCACAGAGCCATACATGAGACCCCAGACCATACCAGGTGGGCAGTCACCAATCAGCTGAGAACACATGACCTACGTAATTATAAGAAAAAACAGATTACTGTCTTAAGCAACTTTAAGATTACTTTGAAGCAAGTTGTAGAACTTTCTGTGTTATGTCTTTCATCAACTCTTTTGGTGATCTTAAATATTCTGGAGGTGGAGCTGGGGATATGAAAACAAGGTATATGGCTAAAAACAATTTGGGAGTGGGTGGTGACAATAAATTAATCATTAAGCATAAATAAAGAGCAGATTGATAAATGGCTAGACCAGGTACTCTTGTAAATGATTACCAATACTTTCTATGGAGCAACAGTTATTGTAAAATTATGTGCTTATTTCTTTTCTGACATGTATTGTAGATGTTCAGGAGGAAACAGTCCCTTAGAAGTAACACAAGTGCTATGGAACAATGCTCTTGTACACTGTAAAGATTTGTCACTCATATTGGTTTAATAAAACATAGATTGGTCAGTAGTCAGGCAGGAAGTATAAGTGAGGCAACCAGACAAGGAGAAATCTGGGAAGGAAAAGGCAGAGAGTCAGTCACCAGCTAGAAGCAGAGAAAGCAAGAAGAGAATGCCTCACTAAGAAAAAGTACCAAGCCATGTGACTAAACACAGGCAAGAATTATTGGGTTAATTTAAGTCATAAGAGCTAATTAGTAATAAGCCTGTGCTAATAAATCAAACAGTTTATAATTAATATAA